GCATCCCATGGCACCTGGTAATAAGTCTGAAACCCTATATCACCTAAAAACTTGTCTAGTATTTTTTGAAAAAGTCACAAGTAAAAAGGTTTTATATTGAACTTCACTGTTATTTAACACTGTTGTTTCGCAGTGCAGTTAACATGCCAATGGGATACCCAGTACTACAACATCCTCAAATGCATGTTCCAGGCCATCCCCATCTTGATGCAATGGGAGTATCGAGCTGCCATGTTGTTAATGGAGTCCCTGCCCCTGCGAATTTCCATCCGTTGAGGATGAATACAGCGAATGAGTAAGAACTAACTCGCAGTATAAGTTAACTTATTTCGGGTAGAATGATTATTATCGGTTGATGGCATGTGCTAACCTAAATCTCCATTTTTCTTAGTATGGTGATCGATACAACTGCGAATGATGCAACTCCTCAAGTGATTCCACCAAACAGTGGTGGGATGCCTGAGATGGTAGCGAGCCCAGCTTCTGTTGCGTCAAGCGGACACTTTCCGTTTGCTGCTTCAGACATGTCGGGTATGGTAATGGACACTTCAGTGCTTGATTCAGCATTCACATCTGACGTTGGACCGGATGGAGAAGGAGCCGGGAATTCCAGAGATTCCCTCAGGTCATTTGATCAGATTCCTTGGAACTTTAGCCTTTCTGATCTCACGGCAGATTTGTCAAATCTGGGAGGTAAGTTTCAATGACATCCTTGTCTTTTTTTTGGGGTATGGAATTTGTCAGTTTTATAAAGAGAGAGCTGATTATCAGATAAAGATATGTATGTTGCAGATTTAGGTGCCTTAGGAAACTATCCAGGCTCTCCATTTCTTCCATCTGATTCAGAGATTTTCCTGGATTCTCCTGAACAAGAGGATATAGGTACTCTCTCATTTTTCAACTCTTCTTCTTCCTCCGGTTTCACCAGTCTTGAAAACATTTACGTAGAAAACCAAACCGGAACATAAATAGATATCATACAGAATCAGATTGAACTACATTTGGTACTCTTAACAATTGAAAAACCCAATCCAAAGCTGAACATAAACTTCAAGTTTGGTTGATATATTGTTATGCTTTATTATGATCATTATCTCTTTAATTTTGATTATGATTGATGCACATGATGATCTCTTTTCTGCATGCATAGAGGAGTTTTTCGTGGATTCGGTGCCTGGACCTCGTTCTAATTCAGATGAAGAGAAGCCTTGAATTGAAAAGTAGCGACGGCCATAATCATCTTTCAGATAAACCACCAAAGCATTATTAAAATAACAAATATTGATATATATAAATCAAAGCATTTTGAATAAAATGAAGCTGCAGTTGTAGCCTCCTTGTACCTCTATTACAATTCTCTTAAATGAATCAAGAAATAGGCTTAGACTAGTTTCTTTGTCTTTTATTTGCTTCAATCCTATGCTTTGGTCTATTTTATGTTCTAGTTATCTTTAAATTTGTTTTTTTCTTAAAATCCCTTTCTTTTTAGAGGTATGAGTTACAAAAAACTTTGTAAATGTAGTCCAACTCTTTAGCAGCATTCTGCATCAAACCGGATATGAGACAATACGGTTTAGTGTCCTACAAGAAATTTGTCTTAAGCTACAGTGTCATTGTCATGGACATTTAAATTGAGAGCGAATATATTAACAGTGTCGTCAATACAATAAGAAATGAGCGAATATATTTTATAAAAAGGGCCTTAGGGCCGTCATTAAAAGGGCCGGTATATTAGCCCATATCAACAGTTGTTTCCGTCTTTTTGGATAAAATATAGCCACGCGCACTTAGCGCGAGTTATCTACACGCAGCTAAAATCTGTAGGTTTTATGCTGTTTTTTAGGCCTGGGCAAACGGCAGAAACCGATCAAACCGACCCGATCAACCCGAGATTTTCGGTTTTCGGCGAAAACCGAAGAGATTAGACCAAACCGAACGGCAAAATTAGTTTGGGCAATCGGATGTCGGTTCGGGTCGGTTCGGTAGTCGGTTATCGATCGGTTAATTCGGTTTAAGGGAACATGGTATAAAAACATAAAACCCTAGATCTAATTCATTTCATCTCTTCTCCTCTCCTTTACGATCCTTCTTTTTCCACTCTTTCTTCTTCTCCTTACTTCTTTCTTCTTCTCCTTACTTCTTTTTTAGACTCTCCAACATCGATACCGTGGTTCAGTTTCGACATGGGTTGGCCGTTCATCACTAGCTTCGACCAGATTTTGTTTTCAGAAAGTAAGTCTTCAGATCTAACGATTTTCAATTTTGTTTTTGTTTTTCTTTTCCTTTTTTTCTTAATTTTATGATGGATTTGAATCGATGTGGTTTTGATGATGGTTGGTGATAGATCTCATCGGAGAAATATTTCTCTACGGCGACGGCGACGGCGACGGCTCGTTGGCTAGGAAGAGAGTAGCGGCGGCAAGCTTTCAGCAGCCCTAATTTTTTTTGGATTTGGATTTGTAATTGTAATTTAATTTAATTTGGGCTTGGGTTTGTTTGTTTCGGCCCATTATTTATTGGTTTGTAATTGTAATTTTCTGTTTACGAAGCCCATTATCTTGATTTTGGTCTAATTCGGTTTAAAAAAACCGAAGTAGAAAAATTTTCGGTTTACTTCGGAATTGATTTTTAGTCCTAGAACCGAACCGAAAAAACCGAGTTCCGATTAAACCAAACCGAATTATTATTCGGTTCAATTCGGCAAAATTTTATAAACCCGAAAAACCCGAAAAACCGATTAAACCGAACCGAATAACCCGAGTAAACCGAACGCCCAGGCCTACTGTTTTTATTAAGTTTCGAAATTCAAGCGCGTGAGGCTATCATACCCTTCAATTAAGTTTAGAAACTCGGTAACGTGTAAACACATTTCCAGAAACCATTAGAGCAGGTCCATTGGGAGGACCTTGTGAGTTTCTTAGAAGAATCTTAAAGAAAAAAAGTCAAAAAATAATTCAAAATTGTGGTATTAAGCAAGGTTCGCACCTTGCATTAGGTGTTTTTTGGTTTTTAAGGTTCGTGTACGTGTCATTCTTTTATTGGAAAACTGTAGAAAAAAAAAAATTTACTATCCCGTGTTTTTTTTTACCTTCGAAATCGATTTGTCTTCTCTCCTCCTTGTTTTCTCCGAAGCTCTACGGATTCAGATTCAAGCTTCAAATCCAGGAAACACCAATGTCTTATCTTTCTCAAGCTATGTTCCTCATTTAAACATCTTCTACAGATCCATGGTCAAATCCATGTCTCCTCACTCCAAAATGGCAGCTTTATCATCAGCGAGCTTGTACGGGGTTCATCACTATCCCTCGTCAAAGTCTTTGACTCAAAGACCTTACCTTTGTGCGAACCCTTCTGCTTCACTCTTCAGATTCGACTCCTTCTACTTGGAATTAATATGCTCAGTAGAGGCTATTCTTCGAGTGATACTCCAGTAGAATCGATTTGGTTTTATTCTGAGATGGAGAGACGAGGAATCAAACCTAATAAGCTTACTTTTCCTTTTCTTCTCAAGGCTTGTGCTTCGTTTTTAGGTCTCACTGCGAGTAGACAGATTCAAGTTGAGGTTTTGAAAATGGGTTTGATTCTGATGTGTATGTTGGGAATTATTTGATTCATCTATATGGTTCTTGTAAGAAAACTTCTGATGCCAGGATCCAGGAAGGTGTTCGACGAAATGACTGATAGAAATTTTGTTTCTTGGAACTCGACTATGACATCTCTTGTTGAGAATGGTAAGTTCAATTTGGTGTTTAAGTGTTTTTGTGAGATGCGGTTGTTTGGAGGACTCTACTCTCCGCTTGTAGTATCTATCACAATATTCGGACCACAATTTGTATTCAAAGCTATTCTTGTCTCAATTTTTAGAAAATATTCTCTATATATACAACCATGTATCGCTCTTCTTATTTATTCAATTGTCTTCACTCTTCTTTGTTCTTCAACTCCAAAACCCCAAAAACACTCTTCTTTAACTCCAAGAAATTCTACTTATTCCAAAATGGCAGGTTCTTCGCATTATAATCTCGACAAAATGATGGATGACAAGTTTGATGAATATATCGATCAAGCCTTAGAGAATTATGGTGATCGTCGCCAAGCCAATACCAATATTGAATCTCGGTAATATGATAGTCACTCGAACCCGACTTCGTGATCGGACAAAGTATGAGCAATTGAAAGCTGATTTGGTTGAACGTATATGGCAAAAATTTGGTCCGAATCAAGCTTAACTCTTATCGTCATTCAAGTTTTTCATTTCTATATTTTTGTTTTGGTTTTATGTTATGTATGTTTACAATTTTAATATTTTTAATAATTATTATGTTTTGTGAAATAAAAAATATTATAATATTATATTTAAAAAAAATTTTATTTTAAGAAACCCACATAAGAACTCCACCATTGGACAATAAAATATATAAGGATTCAACAGAAACACTAAACTCTCATTTATTCAAAATTTAGTTTTAAAAAATTGTAAGGAGTCCTTAATTAGGACTCACCAATGGGAGTGCTCTTATTATTGTAAAAATGGCTAAAATATTGTTGACTTTTTTAGTGACTGGTAAAGTTAAAAAAAAAAAAAAAACTGGTAAAATTTCTTCGAAATTAGCTGTCTAAATACTGTTTTCTCTTAATAAGAAGAACTTCCAATCTTTTTTTTTCTTTCTAATGTGTGAATCAAAAATATCTCACTTACATTTAAGTATCCATGAAGACGAGATTAGATCAAATCAAATAATAGCTTTCTGGCAAGTTTGTCTATAGTCACACAGACCCCCAATTTTTTTTTAATAATTCAAATTTCATACATGGACTTACCAAATCTGCGTTGATAACATAGTTGTCATGTCATCATCTTTTTAAACAAAAATATATATATTTTTTTCTCTACCCCTTTTTTTTTGCTCCATCACTATCACGATTTACTATATCCATCACAAACATAGATTTTGCTTAACACGAATTTTTTTTACTGTAAGATCTTGATACGATTGAACTTGGCCACAGTGATAAATTTCATTCCAATTTAGTCTTTTGCGTTGTCGAAACCGAAAAACCGAAAAGACGCACAAAGCTTGAAACTAACGAAATAAAAAGGGCTATAATCACACAAAAGACTCTAGAAAGAAAAAAAAAAAACTTAAAAGCATCTGTGTTTCTTATTATTCGATGCTATGGCATAAATGCTTATAAACTATTCACAAAGTCGCTGATTTCAGTCAATCTATCATCAGTTTCTAAGGTTTTTTTCCAGCTGAGGGCTTACTAGAATCAGGACCTCGCTTGGCGTACAAGGAACCAGCAGCTGATATATCAGAAGGCAGAGAGACCGTCGCAGAGAGAGGTTGGAAATTAGTGTTTCCAACGAACCAGTAGAGTGCCCATTTGAGGTTGCAGAGAGTATACTTTAGTGCTTTGGTCCAACTCTCTTGCTTGTTGAAGCTCTGTGTTATTGAAAATCCCTCCACTTTGTCCTTTTCGATCCTGCAAAAAAGATTTTATATGAGAAACTTGTAAGGTTTTCCATTGCACCCATTAACAAAAAAAGATAAGAGACGACAAAGATTTTGGTTTTAAAAGAGTGGGGACTTGCTTGTATGGAAGTTTGAGGCATTTCTCTGGTGGAATATTGTTCTCTTGGTCCTTTGAATTTGCGAAATCAGCAAAGTCTTTAAGACACATCAAATACAGTGTCATGGCTTTATCGTACCGAGTGCTCCAAAACAAGTTTACAGGACCAAACCTGACGAAGATTATCAACAGGTTTTAGTTAAAAAGGGTGAAGAAACACAAAGAAAAAACTCAGCACAAGACATCTATTTTCAGTTCAACTCCAATAACAAACCAGTACAAGAATATGCAATTTACTTACAGCTCATAAGTTTCGTTGTTGCTGTCTACAATTCTAGGATAACTCCCCATCGGCTGTATTTTAACTCGACATCTTGAAAGGAGTTACTGGTTAAGGATAAACTTCATATACAGTAAACAGTATCAAACAAAAAAAAAAGTAAAATAAGGAAAAGGACTGTGAGATAGTAATAAGGATACTGAAACTTTGGCCGGAAATAGTTACACATCGTATGGAGGAGAAGACAGGCTTGGCCCCAAGCAGCATTGATCTCATCCCACTCAACCTAATTATGTTTCATGTGACCTATGTTTAGACAAATATATGAGCAGAAAGAGATTATAAACATACAAGGAAAGTTGCAAAACTTACCTTTATGGCAGGGAGTCTTCCAAGTCGAAAATTGTTAATTGTACCAAAATCCCCATCATACCGTATGGGGAAGGCATCAGTAAGTACATTTGTCTTATTTAATAACTCTAAATGTGCTTGTGAAACTTCAATCTTTGCCAAGATTGCATCTCTCTCTTCCTGTTAACAAAGACATATCTTTTACACTAGATCTAAGAAATGAGTGTTACGCTGATAAAGCCTAAACATTCACAGATACAACATGACTACAAAAACCTAAATCAATTGCTATGAACACTAATACCACAATGAGAGAGAACTATTATCAAGAAGCTCTTGTCTCTCCAAAGTATCATTTAGTAAAATGAAGGAGAAACCTAAGAGTGTCACAAGCAACGCACCTGATGGGCTATTAGTTGAAATTGAAAATTATTGAACTCTTGCCAATACCTATAACAAAGGAAACCAGAAAAGTCATAAAAACATGTGAGAAATTAAAAGATAGCATTATAAATGTACCGTTGGCCAATAAGGAAACAGTGAGAGAGCTTACCGATCTTCAAGTTCGTTAAAGCGATTTCCCTTTGACTCTAGCTCCTTCAGTTGATGGTTTACCTCAGCATTTTGTTTCTCTGTTTCTTCTATAGCTGCAACAAGTTTTCTTTCTTCTTCCTCAATCTAAGTAGAGCAGGAAACAACAACAAACTTGTAACTTAACATCATATGCAATTCATCTTTAGAGTAAAACAATATGCTAAAAGCTGAAATATACCTTCTTTTTTTCCTTCAAAAAATCAGCTTCACTAAGAACATCTTGTGTCTCCCCTTCTAACCGCTGAACGCATGCTTCGTATGCTTCCACGTCCCTCGTCACATCCTCGACTTCTTTTTCAAGTTTGTCAGACAATACCCTCATGCATTCTAAGCACAATGGCTGTTCAACCTAAAGAATTCAAAAACGGGGAAAGTAAAACATATTATCAGGTCCACATGACTCCAAGTTATCCAGCACAAGTTTATCGCGACTATAAATGACTCCAATTTATCCAGCAGATATACCCTTCAAACAAGAACAAAAACGTTAAAGCATCATACCTGTGTCTGAGTTCTGGCAATATCGAAAGCACGTGTTAAGACATTGATAGTCGCATTAAAGCCAGAAGTGTTTGAATGTAATGGACCGTTTTGGCCCACTTCAAGAGACAGATTGTGAGAAGCGCCAGAATCAGAAGCAGGCTCAGACTTGTACACAACTACAAACGATTCTTCCATTGCCTTTCCAGATTGAGTTGCATCAGGCTGAGCAGACGAGGCCCCACGAGGACGTGGAGGAATGCCCTGATGAGGCTTATGTCGAGGTAAAACAACGAAAGAGTTGTCCATGCGTGTTGAACCAAGAACACTGTTAGCTCCATGGATGGATGAGCCCTGCGTTGCTGGATGTAACGAAACACATTTCATTGTGAGGGATTTTGACACATTACAAATCATATCCACATAAGTAAGATTCTGAAACGACAATTTGCTCGAAGAAGAACCAATCCTAATTCTCCAAGGCAAAAATTACAGAATTATTAGATAAAATCAACAATTGAACTCTGACGGAAATTTGTATCTAACTATGAGGAACAAGAAGACAATTACCCAGTACATAAATTCCAAAAAAAGGGCCTAACCGGAAGGAGGGGAATCGTTGAAGAACTTGCCGGCGTAGGAATCGACGCCGACGATGGTAAGGGCGTGGTGACAGTTTTGGCAGACCCATTTCGGCAGATTCGGATCAATCCGACTTTTATCTGGAATCTCCTCTTTCCTCATCGCTTCCCAAGAGACTCCTCCGTACGCAATCGATCTAGGGTTTGGGTTTGAATTTATCTACACTTATCAATCTGTGTGTGTGATGCTTCTTACTAATCTAAATCATTCACCGCCTAATTTTAGATTTCTCGACCTTGATGATCATGGATGGATGGATGGATGGATGGATGATAGACAGAAGGAATCTTTCTATATTGTTTGGAATCTTTCTATATTGTTTTGCTTGTCCTCTCAATTGTAAAGCACCAGTGGTTTAGTGGTAGAATAGTACCCTGCCACGGTACAGACCCGGGTTCGATTCCCGGCTGGTGCAAATGTTTTTATCGGCAATTTTCATTTTATAACGAAACTCAAAACGGGCAGATCCTTTTAAGGCCCAATTTTAAAATGAACCCAACAAACAAAGATGACACGTGTTTGATGCAAAAACCTAAAGGATTCATGTAAGCGAGAAAACCGCCGGCCGCCAGAACACCACCGGTTGCTCACCGCCGATTCTTCAATTTGTCGTCAAGACTATGCCGACGACGGTCTTAACCACCAGATGAAGGCTTAAAGTCACGTCCTTGGAGCCATCCTTCTACAAATATCACCACCGCAAATCGAATTGGATCCGCTGTTTCCTTCTTGAACAATAGGAGATTTTTTTCAGATCTTCATCTCAACCCAAACTCAAAGGAAGAAGCTCCGCCCAAGACCTAAGTAGAGGTCCACTTCGCATAACGACGAAGATATTACTCTAACTTTTGAGAAGAGTTAAGCTAACGGATAAACAAGAGAGAAACCAATCGATAGCAAGCGGGATTTAAACTGAGAACTTGTAGAAAGAGGAGAGAACAAAACAGAAAAACACAATCCGATCTTAGCCGGAAAACGAACCCACCTAAGTCGGAAATTATTAAAATCCGACTAAGTGTAAAGAGAGATCTGTCCAAAGTCGGAAACTATGTATAGATCAAAAAACCAGCTAACACCGGAATTTGATTCCGGTTAACCGGAAGTCTCATTCTCTCTCTGAAGAATAAGAGTGGGTTGGCCTATGCCCGTTTTATCACAGCTAATTTATAAAACATTTATTTAAAAGAAAATGTATACCGAAATAGTTTTGAATTCATTAATATTTTTACAACATATTCATTCTTTAGAATGCATCAAAGAGGATCAAACTATGATCTCTATACTATTGAAGAAACTACGAGTCATAGTTTTCTTTTCTTGATCTCTCTATCCCTCAAACTTCACAATGCACGTGAACTTCGATTACATTAAAATATAAACGCGTTTAATTTGTAAATTATTCAAGTTTCATTAGATTGAAGATAAATTTTTTTCTTGTTATATTACATCACAGTACACACACACAGAAAAAAAAAAACAGAACATTAAGAAGAGAAAAACAAGTTTGTATATCCTCAGACCTCATCAGTGTGTACCGAAATCGGTTTGGATTTCTGTTTTTTTTGTGCGTTTGTCAGGATTGTCTTCTGTGATACAAGTTTGGGGAAAATAGTGGCTGTAGGAGTTGTGCTCATCACGGTTGTCATTATCCTGGCTATTAGGCCCGGACACGAAGCGGATATCCAGAAAATTTGGGATATTCGTTATTCGATTCGTTTTAACCGAATACTTGATTTTGTGATTTGCTTTGATCCGAAAATTTCCGGATATTCAGAAAATCGAATATCCGGATTTTTTTTGTGATATTTGTGGATATCCGCTTCGATACTTCTACACCTATTAAAACCCTAAAAAGCTAACCGCTCGTGTGTAAAACTACAAAGAAAAAGATAAAATTTGGAAAAAATAAATCGTCGTAGGATTCCAACTTCTTATTTTAAGGGATATTAATTTTTCTTTTTTAATAAATTCCACTTCACTAATAAAAACTATTAAATTGTGTCACATACACAAGTCCGAAGGATGAAAAACTGAGTTTACAAATACAAGCCAAAAATATATTATGATATGCATATATATATATATATATATTCTAATATATATCGAAAAATACGGATCGAAGCGGATATCCGACTTTAAAAAAAACAATATTTGTTATTTGCTCCGGTTTTTACGAATACTACGTTTTCCTATTTGCTTTGCTCCAAAATTTTACGGATATTCGGATTTTTCGAATCGAATCAAAACGAATACCGAGTCGAAGCGGATCTAACGAATATTTTGCCCAGGCCTACTGGCTATGTTTCTCTTTGGATCCAGTATTGGAGATTTCATAGGGATACATGTGGTAATCAATCTAACTATTTTGTAAAATGTTTTAGAGTATGCATAGCTTTTGAATTCATAAACGTTACAGATATTTTTCAAAAACAATTAACCTTAGACCCAAATCTAAAAATCATACAAAGTTAGGTGCACCCTTCACGCGCTGGAAGAGGGATTGCTCTGACAAACCGGACACGAATTAACTATGCAACTTGAGCCACACATCGATGCAATTGGTATGGAAACAGTGTTTCATATTCCGGTAATTCGATATGAAGAAATGATATTTTTTTTCCTTTCCCTGTCGAAGAGAGACGTAGAACTCAAGAGATTTGAAAGTATAATAAATCAATGTATTAATTAATTCATCGTTACGTTTTAAAAGAAAAAAAATCAACGGTCGAGAAATAGTCGCTGCAAAATAAAACAAAACAAAAAAATAAAGAAGGAAAAACAAAACCCTAGAGAATTGTCTCAGAACATGAGGTCTTCGTTGCTCGGCAATCTTCTGAAGAAGTTGAGGTTCCCCTCGGGCAAATTATTGCGGACACACGGGAATTGCACCCAGTGGACAACAAATGCCATAAAAACCCACTTACGAACAAGTGTTATATCCCAAATAAGGCAAGCGACGAGCATGTACACATAACAGAGGACCAAGAAGGCAATCAAAACCAATGGCCGCTCAAGCAACTTAAAAGCCGCTAGAAACCGTTCGCCTTGTGTAGCAGCATCTCCCATTAGTAACATGACGTTCTCCATAATCTTCCTCAACCTATCGTACCTCATCTTAAGAATGTTTACATCGTTCTCCGCCGACGGAAACGAGTCAAACTCTTCGGCTAACTCGTCTAGGTTGATCGAGTCCAGTTTCCGTAGCTTCAAATCGACGAGAATCAATGGAGGAGGAGGAGTGACGATCCAATAAGGCAACCAGTCATATATTTTCCCCGGGGACTTGACAATTTCCCGTAGAAGTATAAGCACAATGCAAATCCCAAATACCCACGAAGTCGCCAACCAATATATCCAGTACTCCATAAAAAGAAACACAAGACTGACAAAACACGCAATGACTTTGGGAATTAATTCTGTCGTGGATCTGACCGATGCAATGACCGAAACACACCAAAAGACCATCTTAAGGACTCTATAAAGCCTATCAAAATTAGCTTTGGTTATTCTTATACTGAAACTCTTATTTTTCGGCTTCAACATATCCGACACTACTTCGCTTCTCAACGCCGGCTCTGTTTTCGCAAGATTCGCACAGTTAATCTCAACAGCTTGTGCTCTCAACTTGTCGATCTGAGACATGGACAATGGAGATTTGTAATGAGCTTTCGGTAACATCAAACGGAAAGGAGCTGTATACCGTGCGTACCCTTGCGCAACATAAACAAAGCGTATCGCGAGCTGAAGCTCTCCCATTTTCTTCAGTCCGCTGCTTCCCAACTTCAGAATCGGATACGAGCAAGTGTAAATCCAGTCACTTTGTACACGGTTCAATGGAATCCTCACTTTCCCGATGGGAACATCGTTCGCCTGATTCTTGTCAAAGATTTGTCGATTATCGTAGATTCCAAGCGTTAATACCGTACACGTCTCGTAAACATCCCACGAATACTGCTCGTTCCACTTGGGTGAGACACTATCAACCACGGTTCGAGTCCTGCCCCATTTATTCCCATATTTAGCCACTACGTAACTGTCAATACCCTGTTTTTTCTCGTCGCTTCCTTTTAAACCCGTCGCACCCAAAATCCCAATTTCTAATTTCCCGAGCAGACATGGCCATAACCCTTTAGCAAAAGCTCTATAGTCGCTCGAGTATTGGGTGCATTCATCAGCGACGTGATAAGCTTGATCAGTGGCTAGTTTCATCTTGAGTCTGCTAGCGAACCTCCTCGAATCGCCTGCCGGTTCGACCTTAACCGGCGTTTCAATGTCGTAGAACAAAGCCGGTGCGGAACTTGGAACTTTGAGCGGAGTCATCTCTGAGAGCTTCTTCTTTAATATCCCTATGCATTCTTCGTGTTGATCGTCGACTCTGTCGATTAACCTAATGTAGACAGTTCCTTCTAACGACTCTGATGCAACAAAGATTAGATCCTGGTTCCAAGACGGGTTCGTCCCGGAAGAAACTCCGGTTTTTAGAGCCACTTGACCTAGAGTAGCTGTCACGTAAACCGAAGGAGTCCGTTTTCTATCCGTAGGAATCAAATCGTGACCTGAAACAATGGTAACCCTAACATAACAGAGCCTTGGAGCTAGGTAGACCTTAGGTCGCGTGTTGATCACGTAACCGGCACTCACTTCAGAGGCGTCTGAAAACCAAGCCTCTGTATAAACCTCATCGACTTGTGTACCGAACCAAACTGACATCAGCAACTCCATGTAAAAATCGGTTTCGGTATTATGCATAGAGTACCACTGCGGTGCGATTCTTGCATCTGGAGGAACCCTAGTCGGAATATCCGCGGCCAGCTTGAAGTTGCGCTTGTTGATTACGGTATTGGTCGGACCGTCTTTAAGAGTAACCGACAAGACATCACCTTTGGTTTTGTCGAAAGCAAAGACTTGGTTCCAATCCATATTTGGTCCAATTGGCAGATTTTTGGTAGAGGATTTGTAGTTTCCGAGAGTGATTTCGACGATGGGGATACATGTGCGGGCTATAGGGTTTACAGCAGAGTTCCGTATGGCTTGGATTACTTCTACGTAAAGAAACTCCATCTGCTCGACGAGGTCGTGTGAAGAAGTTGGGCCGTAACGGTTTCGAGCTCCTCTTTCTCCTCCCAGCTTTGGAGAGATTTGCTTGACGGAGAATTCATCTTTATTGGCAGCCATCTCTGAAACAAAAACAAGAAAGAGAGATATGAATAAGAAAATGAATTTCAGACCTAAGGAAACACACGAATTAGTAATAAATCTTTAAACGAACTGACTTAGATAGCTAAACAAGAAACCCGAAGCAAATACAAATCTATGGGGAACAAGAATTGGTATCAACAGTTTTCAAGTTCCAAGTTACTTCCCGCACAAGAGGGATCATCAAGAGAGCCAAACAGAAACTCATCACGAACCTGTGTCTGATACGATGAAGCAGAGTATAGAGTTTTAGGCTTGATTATTCTTTTTGATAACACACATCTATGCATACAATATATATAATATATACATTCGTACGAATATTCAGAAAGAGTTGAATAGAGAAATGGAATAATTTCAGTTTTACATATAGCAAGTGAGATACTATATAATATATAGCATATACACAAAGAGTTGAATGCTTATATAGTTATATCTCATATCTTCTTTCCTCATAGCCCATTAACTTTCCTAATTTTGTGGTTTTATATAATCTGCCAAGGAAAATCCACGAATTCTCCTTTTGCATTTTTATTTTAGTAAACTTGGTGTTTGGGCTTCGTTTCCACAGAGTTTTTAATGCAATTATGGGCCTTGAAATGTATCTTTTTTTTTTTTTTTGGTCAAAGACCTTGAAATGTATCTAATAAAACATTTTAGAGATGCATCGAAAAATCTTTTAGAGAATCCAAGAGATCCAAATTATATACAAACGTTATTCAAAACAATTAATCCCGCGCAGGAGATGGATTACTCCGACAAACCGGGCAAGAACTATGCAACTTGAGCCACGCATCAATACATTCGGTATGGAAGCAATGTTCACATTCAGGTAAACACCTAACAGTTTCTTTGGTTGCGTATTCTGACAAACAAATGGGACATACAACATCATTTGATCCGGTCGGGAGTCTCCTACTCTCCCCTAACTCAACTTTCTTGTATGACTCAATCGTAGACTCATCCAGACCCGTCCTTGCGACTTCATCGCTTGGCTGCGGCGTTACGGATCCAGAAAGGCGTGCAACCACTGCGTGTTGTATCTGGGAAGAGACTCTCTCGGAACTGCACATGACAAGACCGACACAAAAAGTCAAGGCCGTGAGTGGTCCGACTAGGGAGAGGCAGATTATCTTTAGTACTTGTAAGCCTGTGTTGTGAAGTCCTGTTTTCAAAACAACAAAACGGGTCAACGGTGAAACTTGTATGTACATATATTCATATATTCTAATGTTACGACATTCTCTCATGTTTGTTATTTGATTGATTAATTAATCAAAGTCAATGGTTTGATGTCATTATTTAAAGCCAACTAGATTTCATTTTTTCGTTGTTTAATCGGTAGATAACTGACTGACTATCCGAAAGAATAGAAAAAAATTAACAACTCGTTGGATTTGAAGCTTTCCACAATCAATGGATTCCTTGGGAAAGAAGATTCCCAAAAGTAGATGATGTCGTTTCAAGTTGGAATGTTGTGAAGTACAAAAGAAGAGAGAAGAATTGAGATCGTACGTACCGGGGTTAGCAGAACTGAAGCATTCGACTTGGAGCGAAGTATTGTTTTTGAATCCACATCTCGAATTAGTCCTCCTCTCACAATCTCTGCAATCCGGCGAGTCCCATTTGAGCCACAGGTCTCGACTGTTTTGGCCACCGGGGAATGCCGTGTAGGCGACAGACCAAGAAAATGGAAGAGGTAATGTCTTAAAGGTCTGACAAGAAGACGGCATCGAACCAACCAGATCCAACTGCACGACGAAGAATGAGGAAGTGGAGTTACCAAGGCAATCGATGGCTCTGAAGGATGCAGTGACGTTCGCTTCCTTAGGACAAATCAAGAACGTGTAGTTGCGAGAGCGAAGAGGAGAAAAAGGAGACCCCGAAGGGTCAAAGTTAAGAAGCCGTCTGGCCAAACAATTCTCAGGGTCGTTGAGGCGAATACGCTGTGATTCATAGTCGATCTCTCTGACAAGAAATGGTTCGGACTTAGGAAGCTTTAAGGCAGTCTTGCCATCACCTGTGCATAGGAGGTTGAATCCTGAGTAGCCACAGGACTCAGGTTGGTAGGGGAATAGCGAGAAAGGGAAACGGACAACGACGCTCCCTTGGCCACATGAGAAACTGTAGCAAGGTTTTGGTTCTGATGCGTTTAGGAGGGGCAAGAAGAAGAAGAAGAAGAAGAAGAAGAGATGGAGGAGAAGGAGAGGGAGTTGTTTTGAGGTCATAATGTGGTGTGGCACTAAGGGATGGGAACATTAAAAACTGAGAAAAATTGGTACTTATAGACTAATGGAAAAAGTCAGACAACAATATTATCTAAGTTAGTCGTCCTATTGTTTTATATTTCTTCATTAAAAGAGCTCAAGAAGTGTTCCTCAGATTATTCAAGGAGGATATAACATTGAAGTGGAAGAGAATTTTGCAAACCTGAAATTAAAAGCTTTTGGATGGCGAAGAAGAAGAAACATAGTAGCTTCTAGGAGATTCTTATGGAAACAATCGTCTGAGTCTCCGGTCTAAAATTGAAGGTGGAGGAATACCTTATAACATTTTCATGTGACGAAGTGTGAGCCAAAGGAAAATATTAACGACGACAAAAAAAAGATATAAGAGTAAGCTTAAGTTACTAGAAGATGAAGATTATGCAAAAGGCTATGAACCCTGCGGCAGATTCGTAACCAAAACAAAGGAAAAGCTTTTCTTTCATCTTCTATATTACGAGACCAAAAAGCACGATACCCTAATATCGAGCAAGAGGAAGGAAGAAGCCTAACCGGAATGAGAAGAACCATTGAAGAAATTTCCGGCGTAGTAATCAATTCCGACGATGATAGATTCTTCGGATCCACTTACCAGTGTCGGCCCTGATAAATATTTAGCACAATACAAAACAAATTTGTTTTGATGGGTTTTATCGATAAAAGTTAAAACTTGAGACCAAATTTAAAACTTCAGAAAAATGAGGTCTATTTTTGCAATAACAAATAGATAAAATTTAAACTTTGAGACAAAATCTAAAAATTTCGGAAAACTGAAGCCTATATTTGTAATAACAAAATATTTTGGGGCCTAATTTTGTTACTAAAAATCTTAAAAGTTTTGGAGGCCCAATATCCATGTGTCTTGGGAATGTGTGGTGGACCGGGCTTGCCACTTACTTCGCCCAATATCTAGAGATTTCCAAGGAATCATACTTTACATGGATGTATTCGTTTACCGCTTTAATTTTCTCTCCAGGATGATGCGACTGATCACTCAGTTCTAACAAGCGGTATATTTGATAGAAAATAAACATGAGGCCTATATTATTTCAAGCCCAACTATGTGGGCCTCAAATTTTGCTTGAAGCTCAATAATTAGGCCTCGACTTTTGCTAATGTGGCAAGCCCACATTTTTTTTTCACCAATTGTTTTGTTTTTCTTTTCAATTTTACTATAGATATTGCCAAACACATATATATTTCCTGATATTATCTATTCTGATTATTTTAACACCAATTGCCAAACACATTTAAAGAATCCTAAACTTACCAAAATAATTACTTCAAATTATAAACTAGAATTAATGTGAGCAAAATTTGTAATATATAAACTGGAATTGATGCATTTAAATACAAAATTAAAATGGTTATATTGAAACCATAATTAAATGTTCATACAAAACAAATAAAATCAACACAACAATAAATACATTTTTCTATTAATTAAACATAAAAATAAAAATAAAAATATTGGTAATTTTTCAACAATCCTAATTTACAAAACTATAAATATGTATGAGTCTAATGGTAATTTTCCAACAATCCAAATTTACAAATCTGTGTTTCAACTAAAGAAACAAAAACTAGGTGTTGCAATTGCTTTGACGAATGTGTTTTTATAGTGATAGACTAAGTGTTTTAACTAATAATATGTGCTTGGACTAAATTTTGGTTTACATTCGAGTACTTATATGATTGTACTAAAACCGAAGAAAAGATCAATATGGGATGAGCGACAAAACTACCAAAGAAAAGATCAATATCTATAGGAGGTTAGGCTTTGGTTTAGGGGATGTTTGGTATCTCTTCAAGAAGTTTCCTAGGATTCTGCAACTCTCGGAGAAGAATATATTAAACTCGACTGAAAGATTTCTAGGCTTAGGATTCAACATAGATGAGTTCAAGATGATGGTAAAACGACATCCTCCATGTATTACATATTCTCTAGACTCTGTGAAGAAGAAGATTGAGTTTCTAGTGAAGGATATCAACCCCGGCTCAACATATATTTGGACCCTTAGGCAAAAAAATTTCTTTTGGATCTTTTCTTACTTAATTTTTTTTTTTGAGATTTTTTTCAAATTTTTGGTTAAAATTAGGACAATTTTGTAATTAACTTTTGCCCTTTTTTTTTTAATATACATGCCTTTTTATGTAAAACAATATAATTTTGAAAATTTTGGACCCATTTATTAGAAATTTCATGTCAATTTACAAATTTTTAAGAAAAAATATGGGCACTTCTTCATCGCTAATGAACACTTTTACTGAAGAAATTCCCCCGAAATCTAGGGATTTTCTGGTTTGAATATCCAAAAAATCACACTTTACGTCCTTGTTTTTGTTTCTGATCCGTTTACCGCTTCAATTTCTCTCCGGTATGATGCGACTGATCTCAGTTCTGACAAGTCGGTATACTTGATAGAAAATAGACATTGAAGCCCATATTATTTCAAGCCTAGTTATGTGGGCCTATTATTTTGTTTGAAGTGGGCCTAGAATTTTGTTTTGAGCCCTATGATGTGGGTCTCAAATTTTGGCTTCGTTTAGCTAACGCTATAACTTACTACGCTCACTCGCTTAGACACGCGTGCGTGTGACTCACGTACTTCAAGGTTTGACTTAGACAAAGACTAGTAGACTACTAGCTAAGATTGGAGACAAATTCACATCCATTATTTAGTAAAGCTTGGGAAATATTTGTCTGAAATTGCGTAATGCGCAACATCGTCACCAGACAATTACGATAAACAATCAATATGGACTCCGACAAACCGGACAAGAATTATGCAACTTGAGCCACGGGTCGATGCATTCGGTGTGGAAGCAATGTTCACATTCGGGTAAGCACTTAACGGTCTCTTCACTTGTGTATTCTGATAAACAAATGGGACAGAGAGTATCATTTCGCCAAGGGACATTCTTGGATTTTTGGTTTTGGATTGGGATAAAAATAATACAGAGGGCAGGAGTTATCACTAGGAAGAATGGTACCGATAGGCATAAGCACAATATCTTTAACGTTATTAACCAGGGATTTCCTGAAAGAAAAAAAAAGTCAATGAAAATTGGATTTCATTTTTAAGAGAAAATGTTCTTGATGAGGCCAAGATTATGATTTCAAGTTGGGGTGTATATGTGAGAACTAATAGGAAGAGAGAAGAAATTATATGGGGTACCGGAATCAACGTATGCGAAGCATTTGACTTTGAGGGTGGTATTGTTTATGAAGCCACATAACGGACTAAAATCAACACAACCTGTGCAATCCGGTGAGTCCCATTTCAGCCAGAGGTCTTGTTTGTTGAGGTCAACTGCGAGTGGTGAAGAGACCGGAAGAAGTAGTGTCTTGGAGATTTGACAAGAGGACGGCATTGAACCGGTGAGATCTGAAGGTGTGGCTAAGAAGGAGGTTGTGGAGTTACCAAGGCAATGGATGGGTTCCAAAGAAGAGGATTTGACGTTTTCGGTAGGACAGCTCAAGAAAGTGTAGTTGACAAGGTGAAGAGGAGAAAAAGGAGACCCTGAAGCATCGAAGCTGAGAAGCCGCCTGGCTAAGCAGTTATCAGGGTCGCTGAGGCGAATACGCTGCGATTTTATGTCTCGGACGAGAAATGATCCGGAGTTTGGAAGCTTTAAGGCTGTCTTATGACGATCGGTGCAATGGAGGTTGAATCCTGGGTAGCCACAGGAAGAAGATTGCTCAGGGGGTAGCCAGAAAGGGAACCTAACGTCAAGGTTGTTTCCTCCTGTGGAGGAACTGTAGCAACGTTTTGGTTCTGAGGCATTTAGGAGAGGGAAGAAGAAGAAGAAGAAAAAGAGAAGAAGAGGGAATTGTTTCGAGAAAATCATATTGTGGTAAGGCACTAAGGGAATTGTAACTACATACTTATAGACAACGGAAAAGTCAGAAAACAGTAAATATCTAATTTGGTATAGAATAAATCTTCTTATATTCATTGGTATGTGTCAGACTTTTCTTGCAACATATCGTAAATTAAAGTTGTAAAAAATTTAATGAGGGGCTAATGTTTATCTTTATTTTAGTGAAGAGGAGAAGGATTTGTATACCAGAAATACTTAAAGCTTTGTGTGACTCTGAGATAATGCACTGTGAAGGAATCAGCAGAGAAGCTGCTGGGAGATTCTTATGGAAACAATGTCACCGTCTGTTCTTGCTTTCATTGTGTGGTACTTCACAAGTATTCCTGCAATTTAAAATATGTAAGAGAAAGAAATTTTGTGTTTTCTCTTCCTTTTTTCTAGATAAAGATGGTTGATGATGCAAAGTTGTATACCTTCGTTTTCTTGCAATCTTGTGTGAACAGCAACTGCATGGGGTGCGATAACTGCTTCAGGTTGGGAATCATCTGCCTCTCCGGTCCAAGACTTGAGGTTGAGAATACCTACAGAGATTTCATGTGGAAATGTATGAGACAGAGGAAAATGTTTAGAATCAAGAATTTTGAAAAATCACTTACCTCAGCCATATTCTTTGTAACTTCACTCTCTTCAATTCCTAGTTGGTTAAGCATGAACTCCGCTAATAACAAAGAGGCAGCAAACAAATTAAGAAGTTTCATTTATAAGAATTTCGATTTTGTCACGAACTCTCTTGATTAACAAACAAGGAAAAAATATATATATATATATATATCTTCTTTTTGACATTTCTAATTCGAACGTTGTTTTTATTCATATACAAGGCCCGTTTACAATGAAACAAGGTCCATTTACTCCCACTTAGAAATGGCCCAACGTATTGTCTTAACTCTTAAACCCTAAAAGATTCTGTATTTGTTTTTTTGTTTTAGGTGTCTCGATCAGATTTGCAGGATAGATTTGGTCAGTCATGCATTCTCTGTTAATCCATGGAAGAAAGTCTCTTTTGAGAGGTTCAGTGCAAAAACATGTATTCTCTGCTTTTCCCAGAACGTTCTCCTCCGTAAGTGATGGTCGAAAATGGAGGAGGAATTTGCCAGTCGTCGCTTACGAGGGTCTAACTCTAAAACAGACAGAAAGGTTAACGAGGTTAGTCTACTCCAAGCAAGATGCAATTCTGATTCTTCTTAGACGTCATGGGTTCACAGATTCTCAGTTCGGCGACATGGTTGAGAGTTACCCACCATTGTTTGACTTAGATGCTCGCAAGTCCATTGCTCCCAAGCTTAAGTTTCTGCGGTCTAGAGGAGCTACAAGTCTTGAACTCTCTGAGATCCTACCGAAAATTCCTAAAATCTTGGGAATGGAAGGGACTAAAACTGCCGGCTTATACTATCATGTCTTCAAATACATGACAACCGCAGATAAGAGTGGAAATTTAGCTCCACTAAAGGGTGGTGGTATGCAGGGGAATGTCATGAGAAATGTATGGGCTTTGAGAGAACTTGGTGTGCCTCAGAATCTCTTGTTATCCTTGCTTACATCTGATAACAAACTTGTCTTTGGGAAAAGAAGAAGATTTGAAGAAACAGTGAACAAGGTTGTTGGTAAGGGTCTTGATCCCACGAAGCCAAAGTTTGTCGAGGCTCTAAAAGTTATTTACAAAATGAGTGACAAAACAGAAGAAGAAGAAGAAAAGATCAATATCTATAAGAGGTTAGGCTTTGCTGTGGGGGATGTATGGTCTCTTTTCAAGAAGTTTCCAAGGATTCTGGCACTCCCGGAGAAGAATATATTAAACTCCAGTGAAACCTTTCTAAGCCTAGGATTCAGCAGAGATGAGTTCAAGATGATGATAAAACGACATCCTCCATGCATTGCATATTCTGCAGAGTCGGTGAAGAAGAAGGCTGACTTTCTGATGAAGGAGATGAAATGGTCTTTGTGCCCTAAGATGCTGTCTTACAGCATGGAGGAGAGGATTCTACCAAGGTGTAACGTAATTAAAGCTTTGATGTCGAAAGGATTAATTGGAAGTGAATTCCCCTCTGCCGCCACTGTGTTGATATGTACAAATCAGAGTTTCTTGAAAAAATTTGTGAGAAAACACGAAGACAAGGAGCTTGTGGCTGAGTTGATGGCTCTTTTCACCGCCCGTGGTGATCTTGCTTCTTGTGTTAAATCAATGGTGGCGGTAAGATTCCCATACAAACAGAATTTTGCTTATGGATTTGTGTTGATTCTTCTTGAACTTGTGTCTTTTTGTTTTGTTTTTTAATAGGAGGAAGAAGAAATACTAGAGCCTCAAGCTAAAGTGACAAGCAAGGTTTACTTTGATGTGGAAATTGGAGGTGAAGTTGCTGGAAGAATTGTGATGGGTCTTTTTGGAGAAGTTGTGCCTAAAACCGTTGAAAAATTTCGTGTCTTGTGTACTGGTAAGATCTATGTATCTTGAACTCTGAAATGAAATGTTTGAAGTTTGGCACTTTGTAGGTAAACAGAACCATTGACTAAAATGAAATTGTTGTTTTCTTCAGGTGAGAAAAATTACGGGTACAAGGGTTCTTCCTTCCACCGTATCATCAAGGAAGGAGGTGATTTCACCGAGGGAAATGTAAAGTTTTTCTTCTTTTTATTACATATAAGATTCTTTGTTATGTGATATATCTTGCTAAATTGTCCTTTTTCGACCTCACAGGGCACTGGAGGTATAAGTGTCTACGGTGCCAACTTTGAAGTTGAAAACTTCACCCGTGAGTACTACTAACAAAGAAAGTTATTGGTGTTTTGTGAATATTGTATATTCTTCTTTGAGGTTTTGAATGCTTTTTATACTTACCGTATTCCGCATTTGCAGTGAAGCATACTGGAGCTGGAATCTTGAGCATGGCAAACGCTGGTCCTAATACTAATAATGGAAGCCAGATTTTCATTTGCACCGTCAAGGTAAAAGATTCATACACTCTTGGCATCATCTGTAAACTCATTGATCTTTTATATGTTTGCGTTTACATTTTGATTCAAAATTTTTTGATATTTGTTTTCTTCTTCTTGTGCAGACTCCATGGTTAGATAACAAGCATGTTGTGTTTGGACAAGTCATTGAAGGTATGAAGCTTGTGAGGACACTTGAATCTCAGGAGAAAGGTTGCAGAATCTATGCCTGCGGAGAGCTCCCGATGGAAGCTTGAAAACCACCATTAAAACCGGTGCATTGTCATTGCGCTCTTTGTTCTGTTTTTTTGTTGTTGCTGTTATGACTATTGAGTAAACCAAACTATCGAAAAGCCAAAGATTTTCAAATTGTGCTCTTTTGTTTCTTTATTTTGGATACATATGAGCTAAAAGTACAATTTAAGTTTCTCTTGATCAATGTGCGATTCTTAATAGAGTTTCTCTTCAAGCCTGAACCATTGTTGCAACCACGGCTTGTTGAACAATTGGCTCCAGCTTCTCTTCTTTGTTGTCTTCCCATTAATGAGATTATTGAACCGGAACATCAAACCAGCTCATTTTTTCTACATCTTTTTATCTTATTATAAAGCGCAAGTCATCATCTTGCCAATCATATATATGTCCACATTAAATCTTCTTAAATATTCATTGGGTTTGTGTTTTGTATAGAAGTTCAATAATCAGTCAGATTTTTCTTGCAACATACAATATTCAGGGGACAAATAAATGTATATCTTTATTTTACTGAAGAGGAAAAGGATTTGAATACTAGAAATACTTAAAGCTTTGTGTGACTTTGAGACAATGCACTGTGAAGGAATCAGAGAAGCTGCTGGGAGATTCTGATGGAAACAATGTCACCGTCTGTTCCTGCTTTCATTGTGTGGTACTTCACAAGGATTCCTGCAATTAAGATTTGTAAAAGAATTGTAATTGTGCTTCTTACTTCCTAGATAAAAATGGTTGATTATGCAATGTGATTTGGACATATACCTTCGTTTTCTTGCAATCTTGTGTGAACAGCAACTGCATGGGGTGCGATAACTGCTTTAGGTTGGGAATCATCTGCCTCTCCGGTCCAAGACTTGAGGTTGAGAATACCTATAGAGGTTTCATGTGAAAGATATGAGATGGATAATGATTTAAAGAGGATGAAGGAACATAAGAGTGTAATTAGGATTTAAGTTACCTGAGGATGAAGATTCTTTAAGGTGTTTGAGATCAAATATGGCTCCACAAGCTGCATTTGCGTCTTTCTGTAACTTATGAGATCCAATAAGATTGTAATCCCAGCTTCCATCTTTGTAGCCTTCACTAAGGAACAGTTCAATGTGCCTAGCATCAAGTGTTTGCATTGTTCCTATACATAGTAAATAGAAACAATCTTAGTTGTAATTAGTTATTGCAGAAACTAATAGACTAACATCAAAACTAAAGTTTCAGCAACAGAAGAGTTGATTAGTGTCTTTTACCATCACAGGTACTGAGGTCACAAACAGGGCAACGCACAAGCTGTAAATCTGGAACATGAGATAAGCCATGTTACAGTTTTTCCTGCAGTTGCCAAATTTCTGAAGATCATGAATAAGAAAATTTTCTCACCCGCAATCCAAATACCGCTTTTGATGTCGTTGATAACACATGAACCACTGGATTGTAACATTCGTTCTATGGTTCCTTCCCTTGGGACTTTCAGACGACCACTCAAACTCTCAGTCAGGAGTGAAGTTCGAGAGTCAAGAACAAAGGCACCAATCCGCATCCAATCTATAATTACAGTGTCAAACAAAACCAGATCAAAATGAGTCTGTGATCAGCAAATGAAGTACTTCAAAGTCAAAGATGTGTACAGCATCTATATTTAACATGAGTAATTAGTAGAGTAAGAGAGTATGATGAATCGAATTCATGGACTAACCAATATGCTTCTCCTTCTGACGGAACAAGTAAGAGTGACTCCCATCTGCAGTTTTCCATATCGTTTCTTAGTTTACCACTGCAGAAGAATGTATAACTCGGATATTGATGTGAAACTTACCAAAAGCTGAAGCATAAATCTTAATCCAGGTGGAAGAAACGGGAAACGGCTGAGGGACCTGAAGATCACGCAAGCAGGCAAACCTCCAAACAGTATCCTCCATTGCGATCTTGTAGAACCATTTGTTTGTTGCTCCCAGCTTCACCAGTGATTTACCATCCAAAAACCTTGAAATGTATGTCCATATATCTTGCTCAAACCTGATTTTGCAGAGAAAGATATAAGATACATTGAATATAGAGATAAACCTGATTCGAAATTGGAGGAGATATAACGATTGATTTTCAAATTCTTCCTCGTTTGAATCTGAATTCAATTTTTGATCATTGAAAGCGGAATAATATGAAGAAAAACTCAAATCCCAGGTTTCAGCAACCACACAGACACAATATCGATATAAGCATCTAATTCTCACACAAATCAAATTGATTCCGAGATTTCATTTCCAGAAGATACCGAAGATGATTGATCGAACTCCATTTCCTAGATCCATCCAATACAGTAAGATTAAACGCCGTACAAATATTTCAAAATCAAATTCGAGCTCAGCCCAAACAAAATATCTGAGAACAGATCTATCTCGTTCATCAAATCGACATTCCGTGTAGTCTAGAGAGAGAGGAAGAAAAGTACCATGAGAAGCGAGACTGGTAAGTCTGAGCAGAGCACCGAGGAGATACACAGCCATGAATTCCTCTGAGGATCTTCCCGTTCTTCTGGTCGCTGCTCTGAACGATTCTTCTCTTCGCTCTACCATCTTCGTCTCTCTGAAGATCGTTCTTCTGTTCGTTGCTCTGCACCAATTTTCTCTTCCGTCCACCATTTCCGTCTCCCACCGGAACGATCCTCTTCCCTCTACTATCTCCTTCAACATCACCAGATCTCAGCTTCATTCTCTCTCTCTTCTCACTCAGTATCTCACTAGTCGCTAATTTGTTAAGCGAAAAAATTTGTTTCAGAATTTGGTTTTAGCTCTGAACGTGTAGCTGTGATATATACCCGCGAGGGAGACACAGCGAATTTGAAATTTTCGAATTCCAAATGACGTATCTACCCCTGTAACAAACTTTCTGACTGTATATTTTAAAATTCAAATCTTTTTTAAATTAGTTCGAACCCGGTTTAGCACCAACAGACGGAACCTTAACCGAGAGTGTGGTTTACCTTGGTTATGAAAAATCAAAGATATTGTAAGCCTAGCAAATCGATATAATTTATAGAAAATTCAAAATCTGTATTATGGAAAATATTAAAAGCTATATTAACACTTCAACATTTTGGAACATTAGTTTGTTGGCTGTGAAGTTATTTTCTTGGAGTGGATGAATTCTAGACATTTACAAAATTGCTACGCCGGAAAAGTATCCAGCGGATGTACATTTTAATGAATCAATCGGAAAGAAGTCAGCATGATGCCACGGGATTTCCCGTGAACTAGCCGCCGAGGAAAAAAACCGGTTAACTTCCCACCGCCATTACTGTTCAAATTACCAAAGCAAGATTGAACGTTTGCAAGAATGGTTTAGACTTGAGAGAGCTCTAGTTCATGAATTTGCGGCAGTTTGGAGCTTTACAAAGGCAGGGCACTTTGATTTCTTCAGATTCATCAACCTCAAAGAGATAATCATACCTGCAGAAAAATGAGTTTTCATGATTAAGGTTAATGCATATGGATTTAATCTAAATTCTATGAGAAGAGAAATGTTTTACGTAAGCTCTTCCCCAGCTGAGACATTGGTTTTTGCAATGAGGACGATTCTGTTGTCTTCTCCATCACCCATACTCACTATACGAGCATAGCAATTGGGCATACACTGCACAAGACATAAACATCGTTAGTAAGTTACCAGGTTTTGGTCTTGTGTGTCAATTTAGGGAACTTACTGAATGATTGATCAATCGTGCTATGTTTCCAGAGTCTGTGGCATCAATTACTATCTCTTCGCTTATCTTGAATAGCTGCGTTGTTAGATAATAAATAAGTTAACCATTAGATGAAGCGGATAATTGTTAATGTAGCAAGCAATCGAAACTTACGTAACAATCTTTGCCTTGAGAACGATAGTTTGCCTCTCTTAGATCTGCAACACTTCTCCTAACTTTCACCCCACGATACTCGATGATCTGCACAAGAATTTTGATAATCAGTAGTTAGTTTGCCTCAAGAATTTCAATTTAGCCATATCGAAATCATGAATAATACAACGTTAACTAGATACCATTTCTCCTTCTTGAATGCTATTCCTTGCAAACAAACCCCATCCATGTATGCCAGATTTACCAAAGCAGACTCGAAAATTTTCCGTCCTCTGAAGAAGATAATATTGTTTATAAATATTTTAGGATAACAAGATGGAGAAAATATTAACTCATTGAATCAATGTTTACCTGCAAATGTTTTAGCCGTTCTCTGAATGAGGTAAAATCTGCTTCCTGGTGTAACAAGGTAAAAGAAAATTAAGATCTTGCTGAGATATTCAGAAAAAATTGCCCCAAGAAAGCAAAACATTGACATGAATGGAGCTCTGAATGAGAAACTTGCCTTAAAAGAGTTTCGATTCTCGATTTCACCCAAAGAATGATGGCTTGGTCCCTTAAGCCTGTGGGATATAGCCTCCAGATCAATCTTCTGAAACATCAGCAGTAACAGATATGAAGTAGGAGCTTTGCTAGGGAATAGTTAATAATGAAAGACTCTCCAACGTCCAAGAATAAACAAGATCCCCAGAAGCATACCTTTGTGTTTGATCTACTATAGATACGGCATCTTGCTGCAGAAAGAGAATCAAATACACGACTCTGTTCGGCTTGGGTTTGGGTTTCAAAACCTGGAAGCTTCATCTTCTTGGTCAAAACGAGTCTTGAACCTTTGGTGCGCCCATATTGATTCTGAAGCAAATTTCTAGAGCCAAATACGCCTGAGGGTGTGTGCACAACTACAACACTATCTGGATCTGGCTTCCTACATAGTGGGTAAAATGATACAGGCGATCAGTATGTCCCAATATCACATAACAGGTCAATTAAAGAATATGTCGGAAAAACAAACCTGTGAAATGAACAGTAAACTGACTTCCTGGTTCTCTGCACACCATTTTTCTCCAGGCAGTGCAACTAAATTCCATAGACAACAGCATCAGTTACACATTCCTAAGATGATTAACTAACAGAACACCTTTGCAACGGTTTTAACGTGAAGAATGAAAATTATCATATTCACACAGAGGCTAAGTAGTTTAAGGACTAACCTCCATGTTGTAACCTGCCCGTGATGCACACATTGCGTGGAAGTGAGTGGCACACTTGCAGCAATGCACGCAGGAACCATGTGTCTGCTTACAAATTGTGCAAACCTAAAAGGTGTTTTCAGAAAATATCAGACGTATATTATACAATTCTAATAAAACATATTGGTTACAATTTCTACTTCTAGCATTTCATTATACCTTAAGAAATGAATTTACTGGAATTTTGAAAAGTCCGACAGCGGGCTCCATATTTTCATGATTCAAAAACCCAACTTCCGGTCTGAACCAAGCACATGTTACATGAACCCACAAACCCTCGACGTCGCTTGGTTTTAAAGCACCGCCTGCATAAATGGAAGAGTTCAGGAAAGAGATAGAAATAGGGAAAATGAGTTCAATTTATAGCACCTCTACCCAAAAGAGAATTCTCAGAATGACTGTACTTAATGTAATCTTGTGACAGGACAGTCAAGAATAAACCATTACTAATGCAAGATCGGAATAAAATCATAAAGAGAGCTAATTCTGCAGTAGTACCTTTTACGGGACAAAGACAACACTCTCTTTCAATGTCTGGTGTTTCACATGCTCTGCACACCCAGGAAGTGAGGTCCTGAGATTTGCTTACCCCATAGCATTCTTGGTGCACAGCCACTTGACATCTGAAGACAGATTTGGTCAGATTTACATATTTATGTCTCATGTTTGGTTATAAGATCGCTGTAGAATTCAGTATAACCAAAAAATGCCATAAAGTAACCTGTTACAGATGATCATTTTATTTTCTTCCCAGTCTTCTACCCATCTGCATACAGCACACCTTTCAGTCGTCCACTTAGCCCTGACTGGCTCATACTTTTCTGCGCATATAAAATAAGTAGTAAGCAAGTTTCCTAGCAAATTTAAACTCCAAAAGAAGGACGCCAGGAGTTGAGCTATAATCTACCTTCCAGCATAGAGAGCATCTTTTGCTTATCCAACATCTGGGTTTCTAGAGTATAGGTACTAAATTCTGCAATCTGTAATATCTTGTTGTCAGTAGTAAATTTCTTATAGACATCATGCATGTAAATTTCAGGGGTATATATAAGGGCAAGTTTATGAGAGAGTTAAGCATAAGGAATGTACCCATTTTTCTAGAGGTAGCATTGTGTCTTTCACTCTTACACTATACTTCCACTTTTTGGCTCTGCAGCCTGTATGGCGTTCCCATTCACTTGGTGACTGCTTCCTTGACCCACATGAACCACACTTGCACTCAATTCTGAAAACAATAGTTCCAAGATAAATGTATTGTTCTAATCTCTGGAACAACAAGAGAATGGTAACCGAAGTCTAGGATCAAGCGCAGAATTGTCGTTTTCAGAGAAAAAATCATATTACGGCATTGCATTGTGTAGTCATGAGCAAACAAAATCCTGCTCAAATGAGGGAATTGAAATAAAGCTGATGCATCTAATACTTACGCATGAAATTTTCTGATATATGTCCCTTCCATGCCATTACAGACTACAGTAACCGCATCAGGCAGCTCAGTCTCTGTCGTCTTTTCTGTAGACCTGTCCCAACGAGGTTGTGAAGAGGAAATTTTGCAAATTAAAGAATTAGCAATAGAACAATGCAAATAATAAAAGCAGGAGAACATATTGTTTTCCAGAAGACTAAAGTGAGAGAACATGAGATGTTAACAACATACTTGAACACTGATTTCTGTTCTTCTAATATTGTTGGTGAAAGCTCATGTTGGACTTTACAATCAGGGCAATAGTAATTGTTGTGCTCCAGTTCCTTAAGATGATAACCAAATTAGAACAGCCATTCGACAATAGTCTTCAATACTTAAAATCAAAAGTTAAGATGCACGGAGATGTATAACTGCACCTTAAAGCGCTCATTCGTAATGTTGTCGCATCCAGCATGTACCCATACGTTACACCCATCACAACATACCTAATACATCAAATCAAGTCAGCTACATAGATGTAATAGTTTATTACTCAGGTCAGTATTTCACCAAACATGGTCAAAGAGATTCTCACCCAATCTCCATCATCTGAAGGGTGCCATATTCTCTTGCAGATGCCACAATACTGATTGAATTTCCGCAACTGAAACAAAAATTAAGATTCAATTCCTTTTGACCAAAGAAAACTGAATAGTAAGGAAATTTTGCTAAGAACCTTTGAACAGTGTTTGCATAAAAGCTCTTCCGGTTGTGAGCCTTTAGTCCTTTTTAGAGATTTTAATGGCATTACTGAGCCACAACCGTCGCAGGTCCTTACGTCCTCATGACATAAACCCTACAAAATAATTAAATCAGCATAGCATTTTAGGGGATGTATTCCCAATAACTGTAAAAGAGTCAGATACAAACAGTATGTCCACGCCTATGTAGTATGTAATATGTATAATGCCTTCATGACTTAGACCAGAAAGTATATCACCAGCTGATTATGACTTAGAACAGAAAGATGATTATGAATTATACAGGATGCGTATAGAAGTGATTATGAATTATACAGGATGCTTATAGAACTGATTATGAATTATACAGGATGCTTATAGAACTGACTGGTGAGAGTTAAAGTAAGATTCTGTCCTGAATTGATTTACTTTGTCCTCCCAAATCAATTACAAGAGCAAGCTTGAACATCTAACCCAAAAAAAAAGAAAAGGAATATGTGTCACGAAAACGTGCCTGAATTCTAGAAGCAGGTCCATACTCCTGGTCGGATTCCGTCGCAGAGGAATCTGGGCAGCTAATTTCAACATCTCCAAAATCACCCTCGACCCCATTTTCTGCTAAAACTGCTTCCTCTAGTGCCTTCTTAAATTCACTTGGCTTGTAATTGTACAAGTTTGTCTGATCCTGAAATCTGAAGAGATGAAAGACTCTTAAGGAACAGAAACAAACAGACAAATATGAAAGATTTCCAGAAAGAGCGTCTCATGTACTTACTTATCCATAAATTCCGTAAATGGATACATCATTCCTTGTCTGACCCATGCATAGTCCTGTTAATGAGCAGAAGTTTCAGAAGAAGATAGTACAAATAAATGCATCAAACGCAAGCTTGAAGACAGACAGAGATTAGTATATTACCCTCTGAGTTCCATCCTTGGAGTACCCAAAAAACATGACACATATTGCGCCTGGGACGCAATGTTTCAAGACTCCATCAGGCGCTTGCGATATCGGATCGATCACCACAGCCGGCCATGCAGGGAATCTTTTCCCACACTTGGCCCAGACAAGATCGCCGACTGTAAATTCCTCTGGTTTGTAGACGCCCTTACGCGTTGCGTGGGGCTTTTTCGGTATACCAAAGTTAGCATCGTCGGAGGAAGACAAAATGGAAATTTTAACATCCCAGTAATCGCAATCTACTTCGCTGCTGTCTCCGTTATCCTTACGTGGAAACAGCTTCGAGTCTTTGCTGCGATTCAATTTCGAGCTTCCACTGAAACCTTTGACCTTCTTCCCCAGAGTTACGTCGTCATCATGACTAGACTCCGTCGACTCTTCCTTGCGACGGCCAGATTTCCATGAACCAACAATGGAGTCCTTGAACCTTGAAGGAACCGCTCGAACTCTGCCACGCGAAGACTTGGACTGGTCGGAGCACGGTTGGGAATCTTTGCTGGTCAAGGAGCTTGAGCTACTTGTAAGAAGTTCGGGTTCTCTACTACATGGTTGATCCACGGTTGCTCTTTGTCTCTTCTTATACACCATAATCTCACCCTTTTTGCTCCCATACTCAATTTCTGAATCAATTTTGCACCGCTTCAGATTCTGATTCTCGAATGTCAAGGTACGTTTCAAAATCATGTCCTAACTCAGCAATCGTCGACTAATCAACATAAACGACCATCCAAATTCCGATTCCAAAACCCTAATTTCATCAAACAAAACAGATTCGCACTTCGGACCTCCGGGAAACAAAAAGAAAAAACTCGAAACGCTTCAATTCCTCTCGCAAATTGGTTCAAGACTCAACGAACCCAATGCGAAACCGCTTCTTTAACCCTAAATTCGAAAGCGAAAACCAAATTCTCGTTTCCCTCAGAGGATAGAATTAAGAAATCAAACGACGGAGAAATCGTGAAACTCTAAAACGCCGGAGAAACAAAACAAATCCTCCTCGTAAATTCCCTTATCAGTGGTTTCACAACGGAGAAGATAAAACCTTAAAATCGACGGCCAAGGAAAACAAAAGAGGAGGAGAAGGATCTTGTGTTCTGGTGAAGGAGACACAGACCGTCGTCGGTTTATATATTTTTCCCGATTATTTTATGGTTAATTCTGAAATTAATTCGCTTGAACAATAATAAAAACGAAAATTAAAATTCAAGATATGATGACGTGGCGGTTGAATGGAACAGTGTTTGGCTCCAGGGATTGGGGACGAGGGAAGACTGCGAATTTTCAGGCGTACAAGAGCGCCAAGTCGAAAACTGGCTTTTGCTCAAATCCGACGTGGCGCATCAGTTATATAACTCTCTCTTTTCTTTTCTTTTCTCTCACAAATTATGAGAAAAATCAAAGCTTGTTGGGCTACATATTGGGCCTAAATTGTTTCTTTTATTAATTGGGTTTATAGCATGTGAGCTTTGTTTATCTAATGATCAAAGTTTCTTTTTTTTTTTTTTCTTTTTTTTTTTTTTTGGGCAAAATGATCAAAGTTTCTAATCTCTACAAATCTGCAAGTTGAAATTTTAAAATTCATGTACAGTAGTCTTTTTTTTTGGTAATTTCATGTACAGTAGTCTTTGTATTCGTATGTTAATAATTTGTAGGGTGCTGCAAATGGTTTTACCAGTTAAGATGAAAATGTAAAAATCATTTTTTCAACTCCATTTTACATTACTTAAAAAACAAAGAAGATAAATTTTAAAAAAATTCATTCCCATTTGTTTTACTAAATTTTTTTATCTTATTCTTATAAGTGACAACCATTTGCACTCATATATACTATTCATGAAAACTGACTTTTGGCAATTATTGTATCTTTAAGATTATATTTAGTTACAATTATGGTGTATAGACTTAGCCACTTGGGAGGTATGTTTCTCATGGAACATTCTGACATTACCACCACACATATCAAATCCCATTTTGCTGTCTTCTCATATTTTTTTGCCATCATAAAAACAATGAACTATATAATCCCTAGCATGCTAATATTCCAGACAATTGAGGAAAATTATATTTTTCATTTCAAATAAGACTGAATAATCGTTAGGGCCTCCAAAATGTTAGGAACGTCTATGCACTTTTACAAACTCTCATTAATCGTAACTCATAAAAGGAATGAAAGATTTACGTATACATGTTTTCACTTTTCAGGAACAACAACAACCTACAAAACTCAACTTACATCTTCAAATGACAACAATTTGAGATCCAAAAAGAAAAAAAAAACCTTAAAAAAAAATCATCATGTTGCTCTCTAAACCAAGACCGATTTCCACTAGAAAACCAACACTTATCGACTGTAAAATTCAATGACCATAATGGCTTTAACCAGGGGAAAAAAAAGGTGCCTTTATGTACAAGAAACAAACGAATGACAAAAACAGAAGATCTTGAATCAGACACTAGTAGAACTTGGATGTGCCTCAAACGAGGGAGGGGTGTGAGAAGATGGCGAACCAATAGAGCCACGAATCCTGAATATTTCAAGAACAACAAAAGCAAGTAATGTCACTGACAAAACAAATCCATATCCAATTTTCCATCCATCTCCTCCATTATCCGCCATTCGAATTCCAAGAACAATGTTCACTGCTCCAAAGAAGAGAGAGATTCTCCCAATCCAATGATGATACCAATTCCAATATCTCCTCATCTTTGTCTCCTTCTGTGGACGTGCAAAGAAAGCCAAAACCTGCAAAACAAAATTCCATTCCATTTATTGAAACCAAAAATTTTATTTCGATTCTTAAACTCGAGAGACTTGCAAGTCTTGATTCTCTAACCTGAAGAATGCTAAGAACTAAAAGAAAGATCCCTATGCCTCGATGCGCAGGTATATCCGGCTGGATCCTATTGTAAAGCTGAATCCCGAGGATAACAGCGGCTAAACCGAAGATAAATCCCGTGAATTGAAAACCGATATGAAGATAGTACCAAAGAGGGTCTTTATGTCTAAGATATCTCGCGAGGATTGCCCCTACGGGAAGTAAGAAACCCCATCCGAGTATCGCCATTACTCCATGTTTTGTCTTCTCCGTAGAAGTTGTCGTCTTCATGGAGGTTGCTCCACTTGCTGCATTGACCAGCAACACACACGTATTGAACTGTCCCCTGTTTTTAACATGTATATATATGGACTTAAATTGTTATACATTACCTTTGGAAAAATCGACGATGACTGTAGTTTTATCATCATGCTTAGTCAAACGGCCAAGCTTGGAAGGATAAGCGGTGCTAAGGGCTAATATGACGGCTCTCTGAGGAACTCTAACGGAGAATTTCACCTGGAAAGCTAAGTAAATCATTGCTCCGTGAAGAGCCACCACCGGAGGGACTTTTTCTAGTTGCAATTCTCCTTGATCAGGCACAACTTGGTCTCTCTCCGTTCCTTGGAGATAGTATTGTTTGATTTTGGCGTGACCCTTTTTCGAAATCCACCCGACCATCGCGCTTGACCCAACCATTCTTCCTTCTTTCGAGAATCCGATTCCAACCCACCCGGTTGTGTATAAAGCGGATACTATAATCGTCATCACATTGTCTCTGTTTTCTGAATACTGCGAAACAGAGAACCCCAGAAAATTAAAGGTTTATTGAAAAGCAGAGAAATTGAAAATCGAAATTATGGGTTTTAGGAAAAGTTGGTTTATTTATTATTTGTTTGGTTTACCCGTAAGACGAATGTGTTCCATAGAGGAGTACAGGGCATGTTATCGGAGACATTGCTGTACGGTGGAGGGAGGAAATCGGATAATCGGTTTGCAAAACAGAGATTCTGGGTCGAATCGTTTATGACATTGGCGTCATCAGCAGCTAGAAAAGGCAGATCTTGTCCGATTAAGAGACAGAGGATGTAAAATCCGACAAAGGTTCTCATGGTTGGAATCCAAACAGAGACGATAAGGAGCAAGGAACAATGGAGGCTTTTTGGGTGATGTTTACTTGAAGAAGAAGAAGAGTGATTGAGTTTGGTGGTGAAAGTGGTTGAAGATGGCGATCAATCATAATCATCAAATTGTTTTAAATCAGCTCCGGTTGGATTTTGAGAAAGATACTTGGAGTTGATGTTTCACTGGTTAAGTATCGGACAATTTATGTCCCCTCTGTCACTAAATCGACACGTGAACCGACAGAAAAATACCAAGAAGATGCCATGAAATTATTGCTTTTTTTTTTGACAGTTAAAACAATTGTCAATTGCTATTTGAGGTTGAGAAATTATGAAATTATTTCTAAGATATGGAGAATCTGGAGTTTTTTACTTTGCTTATTTAAGGGGAAAAAAAGAAGAAGACAGAGATGGGAGGGAGAGAGTGGGGTCGTAAACTGGACCAGAGTGGGAGGTGGATCAGTCTTATTCTGAAAATCATTACTCATTAGGTATATTTGGTCAGGATAGTGCCACGATCAACATCATCTTTTCTTTTCTTTTCTTTTCGGGAAGGAGATATTATTGGGATATATGGGGTCTATTGTGCAATTAGGAAATAACTTATGTATAGTTTGGTTATTTCCCTAATGTATCTAGGTTTAATATTGATTCATTGTATGTATATAAGGCTAAGCCTCCATCACGTGAAGCATAAGAAAACCTTTATACAGAAACAAGGTTTTTGACATGGTATCAGAGCATAACCTAAGATTTTAGGTCATACGATTCTCTGTTCTTTACCTTTATACTCTGTTTTTCGACTTCTTTCTTTGATCTTAGTATTATCGATCTATTCTAATCGATATACTCTCTCTTTTCTTCCCTAAATGGCGAGTGAAAAATCCGGCAGTGGCACACTTGAGGATGGGTCCGACGGCTCGTCTCACACCAAGGTTGTTACCAAACGGATTGAGTCAACTAGGAAAAGAATTGACCCATACGATTTGTCTTCCGGTCATAATCCCGGATCTGTCATCTCCCAGCCACAACTTCGTGGTCCTAACTATGATGAGTGGGCGATGAATCTAAGACTTGCGTTGCGTGCAAGGAAGAAATTTGGTTTTGCGAATGGTTCCATACCTAAACCCGATGACGACTCTGATGATATTGAAGATTGGTGGGCTAATAATGCCATGGTTGTATCATGGATACGATTGACTGTAGCTCCCGATTTGAGTAGCTCACTTTCACATCATGAGATTGCTTTTGATCTTTGGACTCACATACAAAAGAGATTTTCTGTGAAGAATGGCCAAAGAGTTCAACGATTGAAGACTGAGTTGGCGAATTGTCAACAAAAAGGATCTGCAGTTGAAGCTTACTACGGGAAATTAACGAAGCTTTGGACGAGTCTTGCGGATTTCCAGAGAGCTAAAACAGTAGAAGAAATCGCGAAAGAGAGAGAAGAGGATAAGCTGCATCAGTTCTTAATGGGACTCGATGAAAGCCTCTTCGGCGCCGTGAAGTCTTCTCTCCTCTCACGGGATCCTCTTCCCTCACTTGATGAAGCTTACCAAGTTGTCTCTCAAGACGAGGAGTCTAAACGTGCTGGACGTTTATTGGAAGCTCGGAATGAAGGAGCTAGCTTCGCGGTTCAAGCTTCATCGCGTCCTCATCCACCTTCGCAGCCCCGTGACGCACCATCACAGCTCCGTGACCCTTCGGCTGTGTGTTCGAGCTGTGGACGGAAAGGACACTTGTCCGAAAATTGCTTCCGTAAGATTGGTTACCCATGGTGGTGGGGTGATCGTCCTCGCTCAAAGTTTCCACAGCCACAAAACGGAGGTTCTGGCGGGTCGATTGTTCCGTCTAAGACTGCCCAAGTTCATCATGTCGGTACTTCGGTACCAATATCTGCAGTTAACATGGCGATTACGGAGGCTGATCGGGTGGGTTTTAGTGGTTTGAATGATGAAGAATGGAAGAGTTTGAAGATCATGTTGAATGAAAGAAACTCCGGCTCTCATGATCGCTTATCGGGTAAGTTTTTTATCGAATCATGGATTATAGATACGGGTGCCTCAAATCATATGACGGGCAGCATTGATTTTCTATTAGATGTTTGTGATATGGCTCCCATGTTTATCAAGTTACCCGATGGTCGGTTTACTGTTGCTACTAAACAAGGGAAAGTGTCTCTTGGATCTCATCTCCGGTTGCTCAACGTTTTCTTTGTTGATGGATTACAGTGTCACTTGATATCGGTGTCTCAGTTAACAAGAGATAGTGGCTGTATCTTTCAGATTTCTGACAAGCTTTGTGTTGTTCAGGACCGCATCACACAGACGGTGATTGGAGCAGGTGAGCAGCAAAGAGGTCTTTATTTTTTTCGGGGGGTGACAGAGGTGGCAGTGACACGAGTTTTGGATCAGCAACCTAAGGATGTGTGGCATTGTCGGTTAGGACACCCTTCGGACACGACCATGGAGATGTTGCAGTTATCAAGTTTGAGTAGTAATAGTGATAGTTTTGTTTCCAAGAATTGTGACGTTTGTATTCGTTCAAAACAAACACGGGATTCTTTTCCTTTGAGCATTAATAAAACTTCGGAAGTTTTTGAGTTAGTTCATTGTGATTTATGGGGTCCGTATCGAACAACGTCTCTTTGTGGATCAAGATTCTTTCTCACAATTGTTGATGATTTTTCACGGGCTGTATGGATTTATTTGCTGCCCACCAAGTCTCAAACGGCTGCTACTCTACGTGATTTTGTTGCTTTGGTGGAACGGCAATTTGAAAAGAAAGTTAAGACTATCCGGAGTGATAATGGGTCTGAATTTCTAAGTCTTGGGATATTTTTTAAAGAAAAGGGTATCATACATGAGACTTCGTGTGTTGGAACTCCACAACAAAATGGACGAGTAGAGCGAAAGCATCGACATATCCTCAATGTTGCTCGCGCTTTACGGTTTCAATCTACTATACCAATTGAGTTTTGGAGTTTTTGTGTTCTCACGGCGGGATACCTAATAAACCGTACACCAACCAAGCTTCTTCATGGCAAGACTCCCTTTGAGATTCTCTATCAACGAGCACCACCTATGGATCATTTAAAAATTTTTGGTTGCTTATGCTATGCACATAATCAACGACATGGCGGTGATAAATTTGCTACTAGAGGTAACAAGTCTGTTTTTCTTGGATATCCTTTTGGTAAGAAGGGCTGGAAGGTATATGACCTTGAAAGCGGTATTATTTCAACATCAAGAGATGTTGTCTTTATTGAGACGGAGTTTCCATTTGCTACTGCTCCCTCGGTCTCGTCTACACCATCATGCCAGCCTTCTCCGACTACTCCTCTTCACGATGATGAGGATGATTTTTTGGACCAGACTTTGGTTCAACATACGCCTCCCATATTGGATGATAACATTGAGTTAAGGGCAACTCCGGTTCACTCTCCAGTTCGGGAACATACTACTTCGCCTCCGGTGGTTTCTACACGGTCTACACCGGAGAGTACGACTTCTTCTTCTTCTTCACCTGCGGCTTTGGATCCGGTAACTCTTGAATTTTCTATTGCATCTCTTGAGGATTCTATTTCTGATTCGGATGAGCATGAGGCTCCTATGGGAAGAGGCTGTCGTCAAAAATTCCCTAATACACGGTTACAAGGATATGCTACCAATACGACTCACATTGGCTCCGATAGTGACTTTGTCGACTCGTCATGGTATCCCATTGATACGTATGTTGATTGCTCTCAATTCTCGGATCATCACCGTGCGTTTCTTGCAGCAATTACGGCGGGTGTGATTCCTCGTACGTATGATGAGGCTGTCAAAGATGAAAATTGGCGTGAGGCAGTCCGTGGAGAGATTAATGCTCTAGAAGAGAATGGGACTTGGACTGTTGAGACATTACCTCCAGGAAAGAAAGCTCTTGGATGTAAATGGGTGTTTACATTGAAGTATAGGTCCGATGGTACGTTGGAGAGATATAAGGCTCGGCTTGTTGTTCTTGGTAATAATCAAACTGAAGGTTTAGATTACACCGAGACATTTGCACCAGTGTGTAAAATGACTACGGTCCGGTCATTTTTGGAGGTTGCGGTTGCCCGTGATTGGGAAGTGCACCAGATGGATGTGCATAATGCTTTTCTCCATGGGGATTTAGAGGAAGAAGTGTTTATTAGATTTCCTCCGGGTTTTCGTACTGATGATAAATCTCAAGTATGCCGTCTACACAAGTCTCTTTATGGATTGAAGCAAGCTCCTCGGTGTTGGTTCGCAAAACTCTCCACTGCACTTAAAGAGTATGGTTTTCAACAATGTGTCAAAGACTACTCTCTCTTCACATTCGCCTCCAAGGACACACGTTTACATGTTCTGGTATACGTTGACGATCTTATTATTACCGGAAGCTCTACGAAGGTTATTAATGATTTTAAGACATACTTGGGTTCATGCTTTCATATGAAGGATCTCGGCATCTCCAAGTATTTTCTGGGTATCGAAGTTGCAAGAAACTCTTCTGGTATGTACTTGTCTCAACGCAAATATATACTTGATATCATCTCCGATACCGGTTTGTTGGGTGCAAAGCCGGTTTCTCATCCTATTGAACAGAATCATAAATTGGCATTGGCGGGTGGTGATACTTTACCGGATCCGTTTCGTTATCGCCGGCTTGTTGGTAGGCTTATTTATCTTAGTGTTACTCGTCCAGAACTCTCCTATGCTATACATATTCTTTCACAGTTTATGCATGCTCCGAAGAAGGACCATTGGGATGCGGCGGTTCGAGTTGTTTGTTATCTTAAAACTAATCCGGGTCAAGGCATTCTACTCCGGGCTGGTCTCGATCTTCGCCTCGTAGCTTGGTGTGACTCCGATTATCAAGGCTGCCCGCTTTCTAGACGTTCTCTTACCGCATGGTTTATCCAACTCGGCGGCTCTCCTATCTCTTGGAAGACACGGAAGCAGGATGTGGTCTCTAGATCGTCATGTGAGGCTGAATATCGAGCCATGGGGGATACCGTTTGTGAGATCTTATGGCTGCGGGAGTTACTTACTGCTCTTGGTGTGGATTGTTCTGCGCCTGTTCCTTTACATTGTGACAATCAATCGGCGATTCATCTAAGCAAGAATCCGGTTTTTCATGAGCGTACAAAGCATGTTGAATCGGATTGTCACTTCATTCGTGATGAGATTGTTCGCGGTGTCATTGCTCCCACATATGTGTCTACTACGATTCAACTCGCTGACATTCTTACCAAGGCTCTCGGACGCAAAGAGTTTCAGGAGTTTATGTTCAAGATGGGTATTCGGGACCTCCACACTCCATCTTGAGGGGGGGTATTGGGATATATGGGGGTCTATTGTGCAATTAGGAAATAACTTATGTATAGTTTGGTTATTTCCCTAATGTATCTAGGTTTAATATTGATTCATTGTATGTATATAAGGCTAAGCCTCCATCACGTGAAGCATAAGAAAACCTTTATACAGAAACAAGGTTTTTGACAGATATTGGAACAGATCTTAGAAACAAAGTAAACACCAAGTTCTTTTGTTTAGTTTTTTTTAACTTTCATTATTGTGGTACGAACCTTTACAGCTTCAATGAGTACCAATCACACAAACGAAAACTTTCATGTGTTCATAAGTTCATTCTAAAAACAAACACAAAAAAAAGACAAACTTCGGTTTACGTTTTTAGTTTACATTAAGCAAAAGTTTTTGGTTGCAAAATGGTAATGTAAAAATAATTTAAACTGTATTATGCATGGCGGCATGGGTATCACCGTATCAGTCACCGCGTTTTATGTAATCAAAATATCAAAATTCAAACTATCGAAGTCTAATATAACATATTTTGACGAGCTATATTGAATTAAAGTGGAACAACAATCAGGATGGGGATGTAGCTCATATGGTAGAGCGCTCGCTTCGCATGCGAGAGGCACGGGGTTCGATTCCCCGCATCTCCACTTGTGTTGATTTTTTTTTTTTTTTTTGCTGGCCTCTGTAATACTTCTTCAGTTCTTCTGTTGCTCCTCTTTTTCTCTCTTTCCGGTGGTTTAAACAGATAGGATCACGTCGTACGTTTCTGTCCGTGAATTCATTTTTTTTTTCAAATAATTTGACCAACTATCGTCTTACAGAAACTTATTCAGAAACAATGTTAATTCGAACACGGAATACAAAGACAAATGGAAAAAGGAAAAAAGAAAAAAGAGACAAAAAAAAATGAAGAAGGAAACGTATCCTAAAGAAACAAAAAATGGAGTGTGGAGAGGTCTCGTCTCTCTACTTGGACCAAGCAACTGCTTCAATATCCGTCTGAGCACTTCTATACAATTCCAGCCTCTTCGCAATCGAAGTCCTTCGCTGCTGAACCGCAGGATCCTCATCCAACAATTTCGACAATTTGCTCATCTATATTTTTAACACCAAACCATTTTTAAAACATTCTTACTCATCAGATCTTATACAATTGTCAATTTGCTCATATAGGTAATTTAGTATATGGTTATTTATTGTTACCTCTTTCTGGCCAAGCTCGGTGAAGAAGAAGTCTAGAAGGCTTCGTTTTGCTTCACGGACTTGACAGTAAACAATGGATTTCGGTATGGAGTTTCTCAAGCCAGCGCAGACCATGTTCACATATGACAACACATTCGAACCGATTCTTCGGAGATATGCATCGTTGTATCTGTCGAATATCGAATGTGTTGGATTCCCACCTTTTTCAGAATCTTGCGGGAGTTTCCTGAAGAACTCGACCGTTAAGTAACCAGACTCCATGTCCACTAGTAACAGAGTTGCTTTCCTGCTCTCTTCTCTCATTCGATCCAATGAATCCACGGCTGCACCTGATACTTCTACTCTCAGTGTTGGATATTGCTTCAGTTCCTGTAGTGATGATGAAACACATAATCATGCTTCAAAACTCATAAGTGTTGTTGATGTTGTTGTTGTTGGGTTTATGATTTTGAGCAGAGATATTCTTACTGATGTTTCACCCATGGATTTGTGGATAAGATCCTTGAGAATGGAATGAACCGCATCAACAGCTGCTTCAGCAGGGCCTCTAATGGAGACTAAGCATGATTCTATGAGGCGGCGATAACCTTGTTCAGGAGCTATGAGATGAGGTTGATATCCATCTGCTTCAGTGATCAGTTTCCGTACATTGTCCATGGAGAGATGTTTGTCGAATTGCAGTCTTTTAATGGCAGCTGGGAATTGAATGTCGAACACAGAGTTTATCTTTTCACCACCTGAACGCCTGTGAGGTTGTTAGTGGTAATCATCAAGCCAGATAAATGGCATTAGCAACAATCCAGAAACATGCAGATGACTTACGTGCCATCGAGGTGTTCTTTAAAAGTTTGATCAAAGGCACGGCAAATTTCCATGATCATATAAAGTTTTCCCTGCATTCAGGAGAATGAGTAGTAACGAAGGAGCCATTTGAAATGAGAGAAGAAACCGAAGAATGAAAGGCGAAAAAGGTCCTTAAGACAAACGATCCTTACACCAGCATCAGCTGCTACAGGCTTCCCAAGACGGCTTAGCTCTGTCTCTAACTCGGAAATAGTCTTTGTGATAAGAGACTGAAGTCCCGGGATTCTCGACTTGATAACAACTTCCAAATGCTGAAAAGGTTATAGCTGGTTTTAGAGCAACTACAAATCTTTTATGTTAAATGCTTCATATATACCAAACTCCTTAATTATATACCTTAGAGAGCATCTTTCCTAAATACTCTGAACCCATTCTGTCAGTTAAATGTCTGTATTCTGGGCTAGTCTGGAAGTAATCACGTTCACGCCGACGAGCAGCAATCATATCAACACTTTTATTAATGTCAGCTTGAGACCGGTTTACAACACCAACCCAAGGATACCTTAATTTGTATCCCCTTCCTTCAAGTATCTGAAATCTCCAAACATTTAGAACACTTAGGAACTGTTAAATATTCACTCACCACTATTTAGTGAGATTCTCATATTTATCTTCATTGTGTCCTTTTCATAATGCAGTTAGATAAAGATTGTTTTCAGCTTACATCAACAGCATTAGTGCCTTGGTCCATGAGATCAATTTTAGTTAAAACTCCAAAAGTCCTGTCTCCTGATAGCAGCAAGTGCGACGAAGCAAACATTAAACAACATGAATCAATCAATTCAAACTACTATCAAGATATATTTATTGCAAGGATCATCTTCTTTGCTATGAAATATGATAATAATATCATCATCTTCGAGAACCACTAGGTACTGACCATGCAACTCAATCATAGATACAATGCTCCATAGAAATAAAACCATATTTACTATGTCATCACACTGAATTATATCTCACAAAAGAAAGAACAGAGTAAATTCAGAAAAGCAACTGTATCAAACATATAAGGAAGGAAGAATCTGGCACCTTTTGGATCAACTTCACGAGAGATCTTAATGGCATCAGATGTAGCAAGATCCTGATTTGCAGGGGAAATAGCTAGTATGATGCAGTTGGGCTGTCAAAAGGTGAATGATCAATCTTTGTAACTTTGCTTGAACACACGACCTTTAGAGAATAGAAGCATCATCCTTCTACAGTTGTATTATGCTACACATTTAATTTCTTTCAAATCAAAGTTACCTTCTCAATAAACGATCTGACCATGTTCTCGATGTCTTGAACAATGCTCTCAGGCTGGCCATCTACAACATAATTGGCACCAATTTTTTATTAATGTTTGTCAATAAAGAGGACTTGGGGTGTGGGATATCATGAAAAACAGAGACTGTCTCACTTACCAACAGCTACCTTTGTCAGCCCAGGAAGATCGACAAGTGTCAAATTCACAACTACAAACATTTCAAGTAAATAAAATTGTTAAAACCTAAACTTAAACTTAAGATTTGATCGAATGTTAAAACCCTGTGTACAAGACCTAAGGACTCCTAAAGCATTCTTGGTTATCTTCTTGATGCAAATGTAGGAAGTACAATAGCTTCTCTTACCATTAGGAGAGAAGATACTGAGATGAATTGGGACTGTAGATATTACTTTGCTACTGCGACCAGTTTCACGATCTGTCTCATCCGAAATCTCCTGCCTCACAGCAGCTACATACCAAGAAAGAAGAAATAAATATCTCAAACATAAGAAAACCAGAGGAGAAGAATGTGTGCACCTAAACAACACTACAGATACTGCAAGCAGTCTCAGGAAAAATAAGGAGCATTAACTCCTCCAAAACAAGAAATATACCAAAATCGGTGAACTTCTTCTTTGGAAGATGCATAAACTCTGCATACTCTTTCCCTTCATCAATTCTATGAAGCTGCAGGACAAGAGGTCTACGTGTAACAATCCCTACATGGAAGACATTGTTGTTCTAAGTAAGTTTCTATCAGGAGATAAATCTTCAGTTATATGATGTACGTTTTTATCTGTTGATATTATTCTAAGCAAGCTTACCAGCTCCACGAGGTAGAAAATCTTTTCCAACAACGCTCTCCAGCACTGAAGACTTTCCAGAACTCTACAATTTCCATCAAATCAATCGGATTGATCCCCAAGAGAATAGAAATTGTACACTGCTTAAACGCATTCCATGAATACGCAACAGTTTTTGATTAAGAACAAAAGATCTCACAAGTCACAACTTTTCATTGGTCTCATAGAAAACAGTAACATCATCATTAGTTTAGATCAAATCAATGATTCAATGGGAAGATATCAGATGATTTTTGAAACATGAGATCACATTATTTCTACGCACCGAAACCCCAAATGGAACCGAGAAGGCAATGCCTAAGATCTAAAGATCGCCGATTCAAAATTCCAAGCCAAAATCAGAAGAAAGAGACCAAACCTGACCACCGACGACGGCAATCGCAGGCAATGAGTCCCAGAGAGTTGGGAGGGAGCTTCCCTCGCCGTGATCTCCCAGAGCCGTACAGGCTCTCTGAATCTTGTTCACAAGCGCAATCAAACTCTCCATAACGAAATCAAACCTAATCAGCTCCGATTACTCAACGGCGGAATCAATCTTCCGGCGATATTTGGTCTCCGACGAGTCCGTATGAGGAGGAGAACAGATCGCAAACGTTATAACCGCGAGAATTGCTACCATTCAGGCGACCGTTGAATTTTTCTCAGAAATATATAAGCCAAAGATTCATAATACCGAAACTAGCCCTGTTGAAAAGTCAAACATTGTAGCAAGCCCAAGGCCCAATATAGAACATTTTGAGCCCAATTATCCTCTTTTGGACACATTTCTGGTATATTCTTTAATGTTCCGAGTCACGATACTCGAATGGTATTTCCGTTATAATTTACGAAACAATGTCTCTTCTTTTCTCTACAACCACACGATTTCTATGTTAATTACCAACGAAAAAAAAAACAAAAAAGTGTTTAGTGTTTTAATTAGCTAAACTAATTGTTTTTGTTGATTAGGCCCAGTTGGGTTGAAGAAAATCTCCAATCTTTCTTCGCCAAGTCTCCCACACACTTGTATTCTAATCTCTCTGTATGTCGCAGAGACAGAGTAGCAGCAACTTAATTCTCTCATGGAGTCTCTTACATCAAATCCTTCCTTCGCTTGTTTCTCAAAAACCATTTCTCATTACCCTTCTCGTCTCTCCTTCGTAAAGCTAACTTCTATCCAAAAGTTGGAACCTTCCAACAACACCTTATCGTTATTCTGCTGTAAATCATCGTCTTCGAATCCTAAACCAGATTGCAACCGTCGTATAAAGTTAAACCCTTTTTGTGTATTGCGCCCAATCATTCGAACAATAAAGGGTTTGGTTTCTTCTCAATCCAGGCTATGGATGTCTCGTCTTCGAGCTTACAGAGACGACACGGCGGCGTTTTCTGAGGATTTCGCCGGAGATTTGAAGCATAACGGTGGATTAGGGATTGCCCTTTTGAGCGTTACTGCTTCCGCTAAGATAAAGATTAGCCCTTTCGTTGCGACGCTCTCTGCGAATCCAACTTTCGTTTCAGCTGTAGTCGCGTGGTTCTTTGCGCAATCGAGTAAAATGGTTATTAATTTCTTTATTGAGAGGAAATGGGATTTTCGTCTTCTCTATGCTTCTGGTGGAATGCCTTCGTCTCACTCGGCTCTATGTATGGCTTTGACGACCTCTGTGGCGCTTTGTCATGGAGTTGCAGATTCGTTATTTCCTGTTTGTTTAGGGTTTAGCTTGATTGTGATGTATGATGCAATCGGTGTTAGACGCCATGCCGGTATGCAAGCTGAGGTAACATTGAACCAATTCTGCTTCAAGTTTTGAGTTTTGGAGATTTTTACTGAGTTTGACTTTGGTCTTATTAAATGCTTTGTCTATTCTACAAGTTTGACTAGATTTCCATGTTGATGAGTGTCTGTGTGTATAACTTAATGTATTACTAGAATCTGGTGATGGATTCGACTTTCACTACATTGTTGAATTTCTGTGAATGCCTCCATGTGTAAAAGTTGTCTTGAGTTTTCTGTGTGCACAATTGAAGTTACATCACTAGATTTGGAATTATGGGCATCATGTGTTATTTAGATGTTGATGTCTGTTCTTGGTTCTTGAATCTTTTAGATGGTGGTTTTGCATTGCTGAGAGCATAATACAAGTTTCTCGAAATTATGGACATTAGGCACATGTTGATGATAGTTGTTGTTGGTTGTAGAATGATCTTGATAAGATTCCAGAGAGTTCAGAAATTTGAAAGAGGGTTTACACCGAGTGTAATTTTTGTTTGTTCTTTGTGAGATAAGATTAACGTTGTTTTGTGTTTGTTGATGTCAGGTTCTGAACTTGATCATAAGGGACTTGTTCGAAGGACATCCCATCAGTCAAAGAAAGCTAAAGGAATTGCTCGGTCACACTCCTTCGCAGGTTCTTGCTGGAGCATTGGTTGGTGTTGTGATTGCTTGCTTTTGTTGCCAAGGCTATCTCGTCTCAGCCTAAGAACTCTTTTATTCAAAGTGTTCTGGTTGGTTTTTGATCTGGGTAGCCCAAAAACCTGAGTGTTTTAAGTATCGCTTAGCATCGATTTTGGCTAAGATTCTTGTTGTAGTATCATATGTTTTGTTCAGCAATAGAGAAAACTCTTGTTTCTTCTTCCTTGTGGGTTTTGTTTTAGAGTTTTTGTATTCCCTGAAAATGCAATGAGAGCTTGTTTTTGTTTAAACCAATCCTTATGATGATGACATGTTCAGTGACTTTAATGCGTTGCATTATCAATCTATTTAAGTATCCAGATAACTAACTGCAATTCTCAAACTGCAAAACAGATTAAGCATATTAGACAGACTATCGTTTCCATCTTAGAACAGATAATCGAGAACAACAAATTTTTGTGGGTCTCTTAGAGCGTTTAAGAAGAACTGACTAATACGCTTTGGTGATCCATGAATAATAATATAGGATCCCATACTCTCTCAAACCTAAGATCAATCAAAAATGCAAGGTTGCTTTAAACACACAACATGTGCCTAGCATATCAAGTATTTGAATTGTTCCTACTACACGAAAATAGAAGCTATTAATGACATGCTTTCCTTTTGGCTTGGTGCCTCAGCTACTTTTCTTGTTAGAATCTTTAAGAGCCTGCTTTGATCGTTTTCTTCTTCGGCCAGTAGGTTTGGTCTTCAGGTTAAAGACACCTTTCATCAACGAGCTTATATCCACAGATCGATCTCCCATGATCTTATCATGGTACATCTTGCTTCCTAGCTCACATATCTCTTCCTCTACTTCTTCTAATGGCTCGTCAATATTCAACTTCAGTTCTCCTTTCCTAATAACCGTTACACCAAACCCATTCGCCTTGGCTTCTCGATATGCATCCTGTGTAGTTTAACGAGAACAACTTTGAGTTGATAACAGAAATAGGTCTACTTAAAGTTTCTTCCTTGGCTAAATTCATTACCTTTGGCGGACGCGGAACAATGAAAACGTTTCCAGTTCGTAGCATATCCAAATGAGCTTGAATAATGTAACAAAGGTTTCTACAGTCCGCAGCGTGCTCGAAAGCAATCACATGATGTGGTTTGGGTTCTAACTCGAGATCTTTTGCCATCTCCAATGTGTAGAACCCTACTTGCTGCTCTCCATTGTCATCAATTGTGTACAACTCAAGGCACTGTAACAGGAAAGGACGTTTAGATTTTGAAGGACTCTTGAGTACTTTCTCCAATGTCAAATGTTTAGTAAGAAAACATACCAGTACATGCGGTAGATCCAACCACCATAGATAATCTTCTTCCTTATCTTCTCCATACTCACGGTATTTGCTCATAACAGCTTGAGGACCAAACAACTCCATCTCTCTCTTGATTTTGTTGAGTTTCTTTTCCATGAACTTCTTGTTCCTCTCTGGCAGCTTTTCCATTATATCAGCTGCGTCTTTAATTTCTTCTTCTGTAATCCATCGGTCCAAGTCTTTTCCCATGTCTCTCATAACAGCTTTCACTTCTGGATCAGTCTCTGCATTGTACAACTCGAGGAACCCACGTGACCATTTCTTCGTGTGCTGCCAGTACTCCTTTCCTGATTTTTTCCCAGGTCTAACAGATCCATCACTTCCTTCTACAACAATCTTTGGCTGGCTTGAGGTAATTTCAGATGAAGGGGTGAGAGTGTTCTCAGAGGAAGCAGACTCTGATAATTCCTGATGAGAGCTCTGTTCTTCATATTTCATAGGAGATACAGATGCAGCTTTTCCAGAAAACAGTGCTTCACGCTGTTCATGATAGTTATTGAGAAACTCGGGGTTCTTATCAAGCGAAGGCCCTTTCCATCTCGGTATTATCTTTTCTGGTGGATCATACACACTGATGCCATCTGAATAATAAGAGGAACAGAGATAATTGAGATATATTTGAGAAGCTGATTAACCCATAAACTGTGAATGTGAGATACTGAGAAAACTTAGTCTGAATCAAAGTTGTAGAGACGATTACCTACTCCGTAGTCCAGGTTTTCAACGTTTGAGTGAATCCACTGATGCAAATGAGACAGTTTCTCATTTTCTTTCTCAACTTTCTTCTCCAAGCCTTTCAAGAACATAGCTTTGTCTTCAGCATCAATCAGGTGAAATGGATCCCTACCAGCCAGCTCATTATCTCGAACAAGGAAGACAATGTCTCTTAGCTTTTCGTCCTTCATCCAGTCAAGCTCATCATTATACTCACTGCGGTAAAGTTCTGCAATTTCAGCAACCGTACCTGGCTCCTGAGTTTCTCTCTCTCTTGCAGCCATATAATTATCCCTAAATCCTGCTCTCATTTTTTCAACAACAGGCTCAAATTCATGGTAGTTTTTCTCTATCCAATTCTCCTTCCCTGATGGTTCTGCTTTCTCTATTTGTTCAGTATCACCAGAAGAACTTTTGGCTGATCTGAAAAAACTTGTTTTGCCCTCTTCTATTTCATTTAAAGAATCTCTTTGCTTGCTCGATCCCTTAATTGCATTTCCAGGTTCCGAAAGTTTTTGGTAATCATTCTTTTGGGGTTGAGAATCAACATCCTTCCCCAACGGTTCGGAAGAAGTAGACTCAAGTGCAGATTTCAAGGTTCCATTGACAGCTGCACCAAGGATTTTATTTTTGTCAACCAATTCGTGTTTTCTAGCGACACCACGCTCTTCGTTGCTCTGCTTTGGAAAGATTTCATCACTGTCTTGGGCTATCATCTGAGACGGTTCCTGAGTAAGCTCTTTCTCACCACTTCTTCTTGAAAGGAACTCTTTAGCCTCTTTTACAGACCGTATAACCCGTGACTTACGACCAGTGCTATTCTTCATCATACCCAACTTATCCTTAGAAACATCAGAAGATTGGATGATTCCGTCTGTAGGAACTAGTGGTACCACATTACTCACCTTTTCTTTGTCAGATGCTGCCATTTCATGAATAGGAGAACCAGAATCTACCATAGCCCCATTCACCATTGGAATAGCCAAATCAAACATTTCAGTGTTTTCTTGATTAATTTCAGTCGAAATCCCCAAGGTTTCCTGTTTATCATCATCACCTTTACTGGGTGTCAACCCCTCATGTGGAAGACTGCTCTGTGACCGCATATCTTCATCATTGTCACTCGTTTCTTTGTTCACCTCGCGCTTCTCCTTTTCATTAAGTTCTATACCAGCTTCTATCTCCCGTGCTCGTCTAGCCATTGCTTTGATTTCATGGATCTTATCATCAAAGTCCAAGGAATCACCACTCTCAACATGAGAAGAATTCAAGAGTTCCAGTTTCTTCTCTGAACCCTTAACTTTAGAAATACTAGTCATAAGTTCTTTCCGATCAAACTTAGGCTTCTCAAAGGAAACCAATGGCTTTTCCAAACCCTCCTTGTGCAAAACTTCCACAGTACCTTTCTCCGACATTTCCTTTTCCTTCCAAGCTTTCATCTTTCTCCTCATCATCTCCTTCTCCAACTCTGTACACTCAACCTCATTACTCTTCCTATACACAAGCACCGTCTTCAGTAACCAGAGTCCAATGTAACCACACAAAACAGCTCTGCCAATCACCGGCAACTTTGGAAGCAAGTCGAGATGAAGAATTGCGTTTTGGATTGAGCTAACAAAACGAAACTCTTCCTCTGATGAAGAAGAAGAAACGAACTTGACAAGAGAACTATCCTTATGGATCACATTTTCTCCATTCTCCATTTGTTGAGCTAATTTCTTCGCATATAGAACCCTAGAACTCACTAATTCCAAATCCTCAAGACCTGGTCTTCTACTCAAGATCTCGTCTTCATCAACCTCTACTTTCTCCACGTTTCCAACAGAATCCTGATAGACAGTGAAAATGGGATTCGAACCAATACCCCAATACTCTGCTTCCTTCTGATACCTAGCAACCCAGTCTTCAAGCTCATTCAGCAAATTCGAATCTTGAGCAACACTATCTTTCAATCCCTCGGTGCTACTTAACTCGACCAAATCATCACTGTGATCGCAATTATGGCTTTCGTTTAGAGGTTTCGTACCTGGGTCAGAAGATTTCGGAGTCGAACGCCAATTCTCATCACCGATGATCTTCTTCCTCAGCGAATTACGTCGCCTCGAGGTCTCTCCGAACCGAGCCGAGACTCGGAGAATTGAAACGCGGTAGTAGTGGAATTTGGAGATGGGCAAGTTGAATCGATGCTGGTTTCTCTTGTTAGTGAGTCTCCTGTTCGAATTGGACAAGAAAGACGACAAATTGAAGAAACCATTATTAGGAAGAGCAGAGTTTAGAACCTCCATTGATGGGAACCAAATGGATAAAGCTCACTCACTTCGTCAAACCCCCAAAGCTGGGTTTAACAGAACAGCGATGAAACGTCGTCGTTTTTTAAACAAAGCTAATGCCTTTGGACACACAACACAATCATTACTCTTTTTGAATGAGATTTATGAACACTACAGTTGATAAAAGGTTCAACATTTTACATTTTCCAGATACAGCAGAATTGTGATGAAACTATATATTAAAAAAAAAAAAAAAACCTCCATGACATGAGAAAGAGAAGGACAGAGAGAGGTACATAAGAACAACCCAAGTTTATCGTCAGAGAAAACCCTAATTACAGATATATCACTACCAAGGACCATGGTTAACAGAGACAAGTCGGCGAGGTTTTCAAAAATCAATTTGATTTCTTATCCATTTTCAAGACAAGTTTGGGATACAAGCTCCTCCACCTTCACCACTTTGTTGTTGCTCTTTCCAGATCCTTCCAGTGACTCGAAGTTTCAGCTCTTTCCTATCTCCACCTGAGAAGAAGAGAGCCATGTTTCTTTGTATAATTAGTCCATCATGACTGTCTCTAACTTTCCTGTGGCTGTCTCTTACGCTTCTCGGTGTTCCTTCCCATATCAGCTTCCGTCCATAACCTCCCACTTCTAAACTGTAATTGTAGTTCCGCGCTTCTGTCTCGTCCCCCATGAAACGCAGAAAGGCCATGTAGACTGGAGCCATTCCGAGCTGGAATGCCTCAAAGTGTAGGCAGAAGTATTGACCGAAGCAATGAAAGACCTGATTTTTATATTTGAACCAGAAACAAAACCAAAACAGAGGAACCTTGATTAGCATATGCAATGGTTAAAGTATATCAAGTCCTGAAATATACGTGTAGAGAGATGGAAGATTCACAACCATAGATCTTGCAGAGCAAGAGCTTAGCCATAGAATTTAGATTTCAAGACAAATTTCCATAAACAATTGGACCTTCTCTAGGAAAGTACTAGGTTTTCATTCACTTTTTATATTCAATAGACCGAAATTGGACATCACTAAGCAACACGATTGAAACCTAACTCGCAACAAAAGCAAAATTCGACTCATCTAATTGCATTATAGTTTATACCAGAATGATCAAATCTCATAACATAAATAATCCTCTGACTCCCCAAAACTTAACTAAGTGTATAGATAACTATGAAGCATGATTCATATGTACTTACAGTTAACATCCATGTGGCGTTTTCGACTTCACGAGGATTAGACTTGACATAACGATGGTTGAAAGTACACCCAGAATGCATATCCACCTTATGATCATCCCTCAGATGAGCAACTAGGAAAGGGATATCGCCTGTAACAGAACACTCGGATCCAGCATACGGACAGTTATAAGGCCTGAAGTTACATACAGTCTCATGTTTGAGCTTACTGTAATAAGGGAAGATTTCAGGACATCCAAGTGACATGTGTTTACATGGTAGTTCAAGTGATTCGGCTACTTTTTCCAGTGCCAAACAACGGATATCACCGAGCTCTTGTCTACAAGTTGGGCAGCGGTTGTGAACCCTGTTTTTACAGGTTGAACACAGAGTATGTCCATTGTGACACTGCAGGGAAATCAAAGAGTTATGTAAGTGTTATTCTATAATTCTGTAAAGAGACAATAAGAATATTGGAAGTTATCAAAGCGTTTGAGATATCTGGATTAGGGATGGTTCTTGCAGACAAAAATTAGTGACAATTGTTAAGTGGAACCAAATCAATTCATACACAGAAGCACAAACCATAAATAAGTCAAATCAGAATCCTAAAACACATCAGAAACTCAAACAACAAGTTAAAGATCCGGGGAAACGAAATCAGGGATTCAAAATAAAGACCTGATGAATGGGAGGGTACATAGAATTGGTGCAGACAGGACATTCGAGAAGCTCATGAACACTGGTGGTGGTCGGAAGAAGCCCAGAAGCAGCAGCATTCAGGTTGGTGTGATTAGTATGATGCTTGGAAACAGAAGCGTAGGAATGGCGATCTTGGTGGATCTCTTCATCATCAGTCACATCCACGGTGGATGTACAGTCCATGCTATCCAAATCCATTGAAGAAAGGTGGAAACTTTGATTGATCTTCGATCGAAACGAAAGATCAAAATTCGGGATGAATTGAAGAAACACCACCGAAACAGGTCAACCCTCGTGAAGTGTTGTTGATTTTCAAAAACAAAAAAGATAGATGCTTTTCTTCATCAATTCTAGAGAGAGAGAGGGAGAGCGCTGCCGTCAAATGAACCGGAAACGCTGATTTAAAATCGGACGGTCACAAAGGCGGCTGTGTTAGAGAGAATGTTGTTTGGAAAAAAATTCAGAAGAATTTACTGGATAGGGAAAAATAATCATTTTCTAATAATTTATAGTATATATCCTCTCTCACTCACTGATTTCTTCGTTTTTAAATTAATGTTAAAATATTTTTAGAAATTTTTTTAAAATATGTTAATAAAGGGCCATGGTCCAGTAACGATGGGCCTAAATATGTACATGGTGCACATGATTGCTTCTTTTTTATTCTAGATGTTTTTCTCTAGTGTCCGTCTGTCTATTATTATGTGTTTTTTTTTCACTTTTAATTCAAACAATTTCTATTCATTTGTACAAGAAAAATGATTTTAAAAACGATGACAAAGATCGACCAGTAAATAAACTTCAAAGTTTTATGAAAAATATACTCATCTTTCTTTTTACTTTAATAAAAACTTAAAGAGATGTACATATTTAGGTAAACTTAGACGCCTTAAGAATATGAAATTCACAAGAGGAATAAGTAATGCGATGTGGCTTGGGTTCAAAGTCACTTCAAAGACCAATGATAATGTAAAAGAACATTTTACTCTTCTTCATCTCAAGCAAACTCTCATCACAATCTAAAAAGTAGAAACTTTTCGATATATAATTGTTTCTCATGAGTGATCGGTCTCATGAGTGATATTATCCTGAAAACGCACCACATTAAAGAAAAAAGCGAACAACAACGATCCATCCAGCTTCAATGATCTGTCATTGCTTTTTAAAGAACATGTCATTTGTACAATCCTCTTTCTGTTGGGTTTTGTCTGAGAAAAAGATAATCTGAGACTTGACTTTAGAACTGTTTTCACAGCTAAAAGAGATCACAACAGGATCTGATTATTCATCAACTATTCATTAGCTTTTTACTTCTATTTGCATCAAACAATCAAATTTAAGGCATTACTGGATCAAAACTAGGAAGCTTTTAGTAATTTGTTACCACTGGTTAGCCGATGTTTCCCGGCACTTTTCATCATTGCCCTGACCCAACTGCTGCGGATTAGTACTTTTTACACGATTACTAAGCAGTCTCTGGGATATTCTATCTTTAGCCGTTGTTTTCTTTCGCCGCATCGAGGAAAAGGTTTGTTTCTTGTTTTTCCTTGCAGCAAAAACTCTATCAAACTCTTCATCGATAACATTTGATCTAGAAGTTGAGGCTATAGCAGCATCACGCAGAACTTCTTGATTGTGTTCCTTAACCTTAACCTTAACAAGCTTTGCTCTTTTCCTCATCACTTCTTTGTCTTTCTCCCGGATATTCTTCAGAGCCTGTTTCGCTATTTGCCTAGCTAACTGATTAGGATCAGAATCTGAAGTTGTTTCATCCATAGGCATATCCTGGTTGGTCCCTGTAGTAGAAGACGTTTGGTTAATACTCTCATCTAATGGAGATTCCTGGATTATGGGTTTTCCTTCATCATCCCGAGGTACAATGGGTCCATGAAACGGACAGACTCTGAGATCTCTTCTCTGGCAAAGACCACCTTTCTTTAGAGGAGCACGGCATGGAGGTGTCTCTGTTCTCTCTTCTCTATAAACAGTTGCCTGAAGATTCAATTCTGCTATTTTCTCTGCCGGAATTACAGCATCTTGATCCACCCTGCCCCAGTGGCTCTCGAGCTCTAACCCCCGGTAATTAGCTCGAACTTCCGTAGTTGAGTCCCAATTACTCAACTGTGATCCCCAATTCATCACAGGCGCTTCAGAAATTAGCTTGTCCCTAAGAGAGCCCCCAGTGCTTCCAACTTTTTTAGTGTTTGACGCTTTATTGGACTTCTTTGCTTCACTTGATGATAGTAAAGATGAATTATCACTCTGCTGAGTTCTTGTCACAGGAGCCACGTTCTTGACTGAATCAGTTCCAACCTTACCATCATCCTCCTCCCAGATATCTTCTTCTTCCTCGTTTGTTTCTTCATTCTCGTGAGTACCAGTCATCATTGAAATTGTAAAACCAGCTTCTTCCCATTTCTTTTTAGCCGCCAATATGTTATTCCTGATATCGATTAAGTCTTTCAACATGGAATCTCTCGTTCTGTTATCACTTACATCAACCCTGATGAGAAGAGAGATCCCTTCTTGAACAGAGATCAGATGCTTTGTCACTAGAAGCTTGCATTGTTCCCTCAATACATCGAATACAACTCTGTTTTCACTAGTTTCTTCAACCTTTTCTGATTGTTTGAGTGAATCAAGACGAATTTGCCTCAGATGAGAACAACGGATCTCCTCAAAATCTTCCTCATCTAAGATCGCAAGTGGAACACCATCATCCCCTCTCCATTGAACAATTTCCATACACTCCTTGATTTCCTTTATCGTTACCTCAATCTCATACTTGAAGAGTCCAAAACTATCCCTCAAGGAATCAAACTTGTTCCGTAAAATCTCTTTTGTCTTCATCTCCCTCTCCTGTCTCTCTCGTTGAATCCGTGCAGCATTAGCCTGTAAATCAGGGAACTTTAACTTGAGGGTATTCTTAAGGTAATCAAACCCAAGCCTAAGTTCCTTGTAATGAAACCCAAAAGACAAATTCCACTTCTCCAAGAACTCAATAGCCTTTGAACGCAACATAGTGGCAACAGCAGGTGGTGAAGGAAGAGGCAGATTGCTTCTAAACCCAACACTTAAACTCAAAAGCTGATCAAGATTCTCAATTATCAAAGTTCTAAAGAGCTTTGATCTCATGAAAAGCTCGTCGATTATGAAAAGCGTCAGATATCGAACCTGCCAAAGAAAATTATCCCCGCGTTACACTCTATTTGACCAATATACGCAGATCAATCACCGTTGACAATTCCTTAAAAGAGTAAATGTTTCACGAAACCACAGTTTCAATGAATTGAAAGGATCAGAAAATTGTACAAATGTGAGCAACAGCGAATATAAAAAAGAACCTGAGAGTGGTTATGTCTCATGAGCTCCATTAGGGTTTGCGCACTGAGTCGGACCTCCGAATCAGAATACCGGACAATAGATTTGATCGCCTTAAGCAGCCTCGGGTCAACCTCTTGAGCAGTTGATTTCGTCGCTTTCTCTATCAACCCCATCACTTTCCCTCCGCCGTCATCTCTCCCTTCCATCGCCGGCAATCAGAAAATTCAGATTTCTCCTTTCTAATTGCCGATGAAGACGAAATAAAATCAAAACCGAAAAAAGAAAATTAGATTTGTGTTGGTTTAATATTTGTTCCCACTATAGTCGGTTTACTTGGTTATTTGAAATGACTTATTTACCCCTCTCTCTCCCGATTTGCTGGTTTAATATCATATTAAACTGAGCGTATTCGGTTAACTTGGTCGAAATGACGTATGTGCCCCGGTTTCGATGGGTGTTTATGTAATTACGATAAAGATCGTTTATATAGTTACGAAGTCGTCTTCCTCTTCCCACCAAAATCACTCCACATTCGTAAAAGAAAAAAGAAAGAGAGAAGATGAAGATGATACATATGACGACGATGAAATACGCTTTCTGGATTCTCCTGGTTTTTTCCATCTCCATGGCTTCTTGCTCCATGATTCCATCGCTTGGAGGTAAGAAAATCTGGTGATTCTCTTATAATTCCCCGAGAAAACTGAATCACTTTCATTGCGTTTCTTGTTCATCCTCTTTTTCTCTCATTTTCCATCACTTTCTCGCAGGTCCACAAATCGGAATCAACTACGGACTATACAGCTCCAATCTTGAAGATAGTAAGTAATCTTCGATGCCGTCGTGTGATTCCCGAGAAAATCAAATCTTTCACTCTCAATGACTTTCTTGTTCGTTTTTCCAGGTCCAGTGATCGGAATCAACTATGGTCGTTACGGCTCAAACCTTCCTCAACCAGAAGCAATACCATCGCTAGTCAACTCTCTCTCCATCAAACATGTCAAAACCTTTGACTTGGATCCAAGAATCACCAAATCTTTCGCCAACACTGGAATCACTCTCTCCCTCTGTATCCCCAACGACAAGATCCCATCTCTAGCCACCAATCTCTCCCAAGCTGAATCAATCATCAGAAATTTCATCTTACCTTACCACAAGAACACAATCATCACAACGATCTCCGTCGGAAACGAAGTCTCCTTACTCCCGCAATTCTCCAACCACCTAGTCTCAGCGATGGTCAACGTTCACAAAGCAATCAAGAGATACAGATTACACAAGAAGATCAAAGTCTCCACAACACATTCCCTCGCGATTCTTTCCAGAAGATTCCCTCCTTCGACTGCGATTTTCCATCAATCGATCGGTGATTCGGTTCTGAAACCACTCATAAGGTTTCTACAAAGAACAAATTCACCTCTGATGGTGAATGTTTACCCGTACCTCGCTTATAAACAATCATTCCCTTCGATTCCTCTGGATTTTGCTCTGTTTCAGCCGATGAATAGCCCCAAACGCCGGAGATACATAGATCCGTACACTGGAGTTGCATACACCAATCTGTTCGACATAATGTTGGATTCTGTTGACTCCGCCGTGAAATCCTTAGGGTTACCTAAAATTCCGGTGGTTGTATCGGAGATTGGGTGGCCGTCGAGCGGAGATCCAGGTGAAACAGCTGCTAATTTGGAGAACGCTAGGGTTTTTAACCAACGGCTCGTTGAGCATCTGAGAAGAAGATGGAATAAGGTTCCTGTGTATATCTTTGCTCTGTTCGATGAAGATCAGAAAACTGGAGCCGCCGTGGAGAAACACTGGGGATTGCTTCACGGTAACGGATCGAGGAAGTATGATCTGAATTTCTCGCCGCCGATTTGAAGTTTGAACGGCGCAAGGTCGAAGAAGCTTTAGGAGATGGTGGGTAAATTGGTCATTTTCGTATATGGGCTTTTGTTTTTTTATGGGCCTATTTTTTGTTATTAGCCCATGCCAGTATTACATCATATTAATCCATCGGGCTTACTTGTAAATAACAAAATACACAAATAGCCAAATAAGTGGAGATAATTGAAGAATTGTGTCATGTTTTTCCTTTGTCCCATATGTCACGTGCAAGGTGATAGATTCGTGGACTTTCGAGTCAGTAAATATCAATCTAACATGACACTTGTCCCGGAATAAATCGGAAATGCAAATCGTCATCATGTTACTGAAAGTTGTCGTGTATTTAAAATTAGTTAACAGTTTTGTTTTATATATGAACAAAATAACCAAAAAGAAAGATATGTGTGCCAATCTGGTTTAATACAAAAAACAAAGAAAATAAAAAAAAAAACGGTGGAAATTGCTTTAATTGTGTTGATAGTCATAGATAATGTGTTTGGATAATTTTATGATGGAAACAAATAAAATCACCTTGTTATAAGAACCTTCTAAGCTGTAACTTGTAAGGTTCCAAAATCACATAAAAACAGATGCTAAATTTCTACTTTAGACCAATACGTTAAATTCACATAATTTCTTGAGACAAGGGAGGGAAATCATGACTCATTAGGGAGTGTTATGTATATAGACTATATATATTTTGGAATTTATTGGTTATAAAGAGAAATAATAATAAGTTTCTAGAAGGCTGGAATTTGATAAGAGGAGCATACAAATGACTGATCACATATATCTCCCACTAAATACGCAAGTGAGTGAGTGATCGGAGATATTTGCGGAGGAAAGAGCGGGAAGGGAGTGGGTATAAAATTGGTGGCTCGTTCGGTGGCTGCATTATTCTGACCATGTGGGCCAGCGTACCGCACTTTGTCTCTGTATCCGTCATTGGATGTTTGTTTATTTTATGTTTCCATCGATCTCACATGATTTTTTATTATTATTACGGATTCGTTACTTACTGCAGAAATTGTTTTGTCAAAATAGAGACTGCTTCATATATATAACACATAAAACCAAGAACTGGTGTCCGATATTCACACTCTCTCACTCACATGGAGCGCCAAAAACCAAGAACATACGTCCATCTTGCATTAACGATACCATGTGTCGTTTACGATACACACAATATACATATGTACGTTCATACCAAAAATATCGAGATACACTGACCAATGCCATACATATATCACATGCGCACAAAAAATGATGAGTTATGAAGAACAAAGAAATAAGAGCTAGTAATCCAAATTAAGTTCTGTCTAGTGCTGCTAAAGCAAGATGAGAAGATACATTGTATTTCATTTAAAAACGAACACTTAAGCTAGTGAATTCCCAATAATTTCATTTTGCTTTAAGAATTTTCAAAGCACAACAGTACATTCAAGATTTACTTCTCCCTGACTTAGAGAAGTAGTAATAAGTACAATATATATCTAGGGATCTTCATTAATCATGAGTCATGACTAATGAGTAGTAAGATAAATCGATGATGATAACAATGGTTGATAATTTGCTTTGATTATTTTTTGCCCCCAAAAAGACTGGGAATAAATCAGTCAACTCAAACTCAAAATCTAACACGCGCGAGACAAAAACCCGACCCGTGACCCGACCAAGTCGTAAGCGACCCGGAAACCTTGTTGCTGTATGTTTCCAATTATCGACAAACTTCCCATAGTTCCGGCGAACGCAAAACAGAACCGTCCTTCAGTGTTCACCGGAATCAGATAATTACTCGCCGGAAGTGAAACCTCTCCGCCTCCGAAATGAAACACCACCGTCGGAACCTTCACAGTCGTCATTCCCGAGAGATCAAAACAAGTGTCGAACAAAGAATACGACGGAGCACGTTTCAGCTTCGTCGCACCAAGTCGAAAAGCGTCTCTAAGCGCCACGTAAGCAGATTGCGTCAGCCGAGTAACCGAAGTACCGGAATCGATAATAACACCGCCGTTTCCGGTGGCGTCAAGCTTGAACTGCGACTCCGAAACGCCGGGAACGCGCGAGCCGCCAACGCTGATTCCAAGAAGCTGCAAGTAATAAAACGTGTCGAGTTTCGGGTTCGTTAGTAACGGCGTGAAAACGGAGGTTTTCGGAACGGCGTCGTTTCCGAAGACGATAGTTGACGGCGGTTTAGAAGATGAACCGGAACTCGTCCGGTCAACCAAACAGTAAGAGAATTTTCCGTTATAACGGCTTTTCGTCTGCGACGGAAAAGATAACCCACCACGGCCCAAGCCCAAAAGCCCAGCCGCACCAACGAACAAGCCTTCGTTATCGTGACCACATCCTAACGGCACGTGATCAACACGCGCTCCATGAAACGTCAGCGTTTCGGTTGAGAAATCTCCTTCCGTGAATGAGCCATCACCGTACGATACTTGGTAGAGACAAGTCTTGCTTCGACGAGTGACACATTCCGACGAGTCGTCTAGTCTCCGGCAAAGGCGAGATCCACATGGTACGGTGGCGAAAGTTTTGGATTTCTTGGGGTCAAAAATGACGTCGGATTGGTTGTAACAGGCTTTGCAAGGAGAGCATTGGAGCCAAACGACGTCGCTACCTGTGTCGAGGACCATGTAAACGTTAGTCGCCGGAGTTCCAACACCTAACCTCATAAAATACTCTCCGCTTCCTTGTGAGAGACCGGAGATAACGGCGCCGCTAAATCCACCGGCGGAACGTGGTGTTCTTTTGGTGGCATTTCGTCCGGTTGATACGGCGGCGAGGCTGGTTATGGATTTGACGCGGAGAGAGTCTCTTTGGAGACGGAGTTTGAAAAGGTCCACCGGAGATGCGTCGGAGAAGGAAGACAGAGCATCCACGTGTGACAAATGAACAGAGAGTGAAGTTGTGGATTCGGATACGGATTCATCAGAGAAAGATTTGGATTCGGGCCACGAGAGGGTTGCGGAGGAAGGAAGAGTGTTGACGACGAGAGTTTGGTATTGGGAAGAAGCAGAGGAGGAAATGGAGGTGAAGAAGAGAACGACAAAGACGGAGAAGACGAGGGTATTTAGGACATTTCGCTCCATTGGAAATGAAAATATGAGAGGATTTTAACTATTGTCACATGGATCTTATATAGACTATAGTCTATTTGTATCTACCCAAAAGTATATAAAGGCAAAATGAAGCTCGTGTGTGAAAGCACTTAGTTTACTTTAATTATGTAACGACTTTGTTTTTTTTCCTTTTTCTTTATCTTTCCCAAGTAAAAGATCATCATTATCAAATCTATATAATATTAAAAGATAAGTACAAATGAAAATGGGTCGGGTCAAAATCAGAAAATTGATCCGAAATTCTGAAAATCGGATCTTTAAAATTTTTTGGAAATAAATTCGAAATAATAATGAAAAATCGAACTAAAATCAAATGTTTATGGAAATCAAATAAAATCTGATTGTACTTATGGTAAGTAATTATAAAAGCAT